GTGCCTTCATTACATTATTACATTACATTTCATTTAGCTGACGCTTTTATCCAAAGCGACTTACAATTACCAATTACAGGGACATTCTCCCTGGAGTAACTAAGGCCTAAGTGCCTTACTCAAGGGCACACTAGTGGTGGTGTTCCTTCAGTGTCGCTGCCCCCGCCCTCTGGAACTCCCTCCCTGCTGAAATCCGTAACGCCCCTCCTTCTCTGAACATCTTCAAATCAACCCTGAAAACTCATCTGTTCAACAAAGCCTTCCAACAACATTAACTGACTCTTTCCCCCCCCCCTGCAATGTAACACTTCCATTTCTGCCCCCTGTTTTATGTTTTGTCCTTATATGTTTCTTTGTTAACCTGTTAAGCCCCAAAGACCCCGTCGGCGGGTCTTTTTTTTTTTCACAAATAAAATAAAAACATTTTAATTTTAATTTATTTATTTTTATAGTCTGGTACCTGAAAAAGGTCAAAGGGCACTGATGGAACCAGATGTACCCAAATGTGCCGAAAGCTTATTCCGCCTGGAACTTTTTTTTGCTAAACCTCTCTAAAAAGGTCAAATTTAACTTGTTTTGCCTCAATCTTGATACAGGGTACTTATTATATGTTATATATATATATATGTTATATATATATATATATATATATATATATATATATATATATATATATATATATATATATATATATATATATGTTTGGATTCCTAAAGCTTATAGTCTACCATCCCATCATTCAAGGGTGGTTTTCACTATAAGTAATGTTTTTTCTTTAGGCGGAGGTAAGAATTTACCTTTTTTTGCTATGTTCCATCTGAATTTACTCTAACTGAGAAAAATCTATATTGATTCTGACACTTCTACATCCAACTCACAGATGTAACCTTGCTTTGATCAAATAAATTATTCATATAACCCTTTTAGAAGTTAAGTTGTAGTCATTTGTTTTGGGCATGTCATTTTCGAGCCTGAAACCTGAAAAACAGGCTCGGGGCTTAACAGGGCGACCTTGGGTTGATGAAAGGCGCTATATCAATTAAAGTTATTATTATTATTATTATTATTATCTTGAAGCCGCAGAAAACTTGGTCTGTATTGGCAACAACTGATTTTTATGGCCACTTTGGGGCAGCAAAAAAAAAGCTGTAAACACGACAAAGATAATCCACTTTAAGGATTATGCGTTATTATCGCGTAAACGCATTAATTAATTAACGCCGACAACTATTTTATCGCGCATTAACAATTTTTTTAATTTGTATTAGTAATATAATTATTTTGAAAGTCTGTTGCTCACTGGCTCTGAAAACACATACAGACAAACTGTGGGTCACAGAAGGGGTTTCAGTATTGAGTATTGGCTTGTTAGTATGGGCGTCATCACGTCTCAACCAATCAGAGCATTTGGACTGCTGTATTGCTCAAATGAACCGAAACAGAAAATAACTGGCTGGGACAGAAACATGGAGAAAGGTACCAAACTCTTACATGGACATTTGAAATCTCGTCCAGACAGCGGAGTTGATAGAACCAGAGTTATGTGTAACCACTGCAAAGATGAATTTTCTTATCACTGGACTCTGAGGGTAACTTGTTCTTCTATAACAAACTAGATTAAACGTTAATGCCCTGGCAGTGGCAAATAGCTTTGGTTTTATGTTTGATTTGATTACATTAATTCATGTTGAAGTTGATATTAACTGAACTAGTTTAACTGATACTTTGTAAAGGAAATACTGCTGTTAAAAAGCACCTTATTTGTTTACAGTTAAACCAAATGTTTTTGCACTTTTGTTCATATAGCAGTACTTTTAAAATAAAAGTGCGCAATACACTACTTTTGAATTAATTATTACATTTTGCGCATAACAGTGAAAATCATGTGATTAATCGTGATTAAACATTTTAATCATTGCCCCAGCACCATTTTTTAAACATCCAGCACGCAGAGGGAACCATTACAATTCATTTGTGTTTTGTGTCAGGCACCCTAATAAGTAGAAGCCTCAAAAGGTCCTGAGGGAAATTTCTGGCTCTTTAATTGTTAAATGCTCCGCTATGTTCACTTAATATTCATTAACTTCCACTCATCTGCTGATTAGTGCTGCACAAAGTGTAGTTGGTTATCAAAGCTAGTTCTCTGAAAAAGCTGCCTGTCAAGAATACTGATGTGAACATAAGTGAGCCTATACTGTATAATCAAAACAATGAGCTGAAAGACCCTAAAAAAGTCCTTTGAGATGGATGCAAACTGTAGTAAGAAGATAATTATGCTAAATCCTTATTGGTGGAAAGAAATATACAACTGTTATTAAAGAGAGTTTGCAACAGAGCCCAGCACACTTAAACCCAGCGAGAAAACCACAGAAAGGTAACCTTTAATATTCTAGTATTCATAATAAACAACACCATGAGACATATGTGAACTCAGACATTCTTTCATAAGAGGATTTCCTGTACTATACATCACAGCCAAAGTGCCCCCTGGGTTGAGATATTCAATCACAAGATATGATTTATAGCTCACAAACAGATTTCCAACAAGAATGCCTATCTCCACCTGCTACCTCAAATCCACAAATGTGAATATTCTTGTGTAGAGATGACAATAAAATATACAGTGTGTAGAACATCTTTACGGCATATAGGCACAGTACATGTAGTATCGGCATCTTACATCTCACTAACAGTCTACAGGACGTGAGCTTTCAAAAGGCAGCAGCCACCAGCTCTGTCATCCATCAGAAGTTTTACAAAGTCAACCAAAGTGTACCCCCCTTCGACTCGAAGTTCCCTTAGAGGGGAGATCGGTCACTTTAATGCCAGCCCCCAGGCAGTGACGAGCGGAGAGGAGTTAGTCGATGGTGTCGGGGTTGGAAACGGTGGAAGGGTGGGGAAGAATGACAAGGACATAGCGAAAGGATGATAGAAAAACAAGGTTGAGATGAGTAGGGAAAAGCACGAGGGAGAGATAAGAAGAGAGGCGGAGAAAAGTCAGATGGAGAGGGAAAATGGGTAATCAGAAGAGGAGGGGAAGTGAATAAAAAACTGAACTAATGGCCAAGTCCACAGCTGGTTCGCTTGGATTATTGGGTACCCATAAATAAACGTGTGACAGCGATAAATATAGCATGACAGGTCATCAGCACAGTTAACCATGTCCCCCAAGGACACCTTTGGCGAAAGAGGTTATAGGACATGGGGGCTGCCCAGTTGTTCACACAGTGACTGATGAGCTGCTGATTAAAATCCCCAGAGAACAAACTGAACACAGAGAAAATGAAAATGACCTTTAACCGCCGTGTATGCAGCAAACACTGAGGGATCGGAACGCAGCGATGGTATCTATCAATCACTTCACCTGGAGATATATTGCTTGTAATGCTATAAGGTGACATTGATCAAGCCTATCAGGGTTTTAAGAAAGTGTTGAAGTCCTGCTGACTTTGGCTAAATAGTTCAAACTTGTAATAAAGAAATAGGAAAGAGTTCAGGAAAAGTTCAGCCCGGAAAAGTTCAGTCAGGAAAAGACCAGGAACAGACTGAAAATAATAAGTTAAATGTCAATGTACTTGCAATTTCTAAGTTGATAATACGGCAGATCATAAATCATGATTTGTAAAAGGTTTTGCAAATATGAAAAAAGACAGGGACTAACAGAGAGTGAAATTGACTCCTTGAAGGGGGGATTAAAGTCAAAAACCTGACTTGACTAAACTTTAAAAACTTGTCAGGGCTAAAATGTGAAGGCCAAAAAATCTGAATAATTCAATCGGTATTTGCCGATGGGTTTAAAATGTAAGTAACACATTTAAAAAAATGTAATACAATATTTTGATAAAAACCGATTACCTTTTGGGCACAATACATTTAAACAGTAACTGAGAACAGAAAAAGGTGGAAGTGGGGTTGTCTCTTAAACAATTCATTCTCCAAATCTGAAAAGGGCAGATTACAGGCCTACAGGCCCAACAGATGAAAAGAACATGTTAAAGCACATCTTTTGCAAATCACAGAATCTCACCTCAACATGAAGGTAACTGTGCGCGTTTACTGTTCATTGACAGAATACAGTTTGGTGTTATACACCATAGTTCCTTCCAATCTCATCACAAAGCTCAAGAACCCATTAGATCCTCATCCTCAGCACTGGAGCACCCAAGGGATGCCGGTTAGGCCTACTGTACTTGCCGAACACACACAAATGTGTAGCCACCTTAAACTCCATCCTTTATGTGGTGGGCCTGATCACAGATACAGATAAAAAGGGTTACCTGAAGGAAGTCAAATATCTGACGTGCTGGTTTCAGGGCAACAACCTTCTCCTGGCAAGACTAATGACTTTTTTGTGCACTTTGGAAAAAAGCTGGAAAGTCACTAAGCCCCGTCTTTAACATCAACGGTCCCTGGGTGGATCGGACGGAAAGTATAAGCAGTGCTGTGCTTATTTAATGTGAAAGTGAATCAAAATAGTTAGACCCTAGAGTCAATGATTAATCTTAATAAGTGTCAGGATCTCAGTATTGATGAAAACAATTGTGATTATTACTTGTGCCATAATGTTGCAGCCCTAGATTAATAGTCTGATTTTATTCATACTAGAGAACAAGTTTTTTTCTGTGTCTTTTTTCAAATCTTAAGGTTCCAAATGAAGTCCCCCAAAAATGTTTAATATGATTATGTAAATAGTAATACAAACAAAGTTAAAAAAAATCAGAGTATGTTATTTAGAACAGAAATATGACTCCTCTGAAAGTTTGCCAAGAGTGTGTAAGTTGACCTGTTTTCAGAAGGCTGAGCAGTGCCAGCAGGAAAATATGATAATCTTACTAAAGAACAAATATCAATGTCATCCCAGACACACCCCTCTGGGCGTAATACATGCTTTTGGCTTATCGATCAGCAGCCGCATTTATAAAACAAAGCACACAACACATAGGTTGCTTCACAAAGCTCCACCCCTTCGATGACATAATGTGAGACAAACCAGGAAACAAGTTTATGACTTCTCAGGGAAAGGACACACCGACAGACAGTTGGTAAGATTTACCTTCATTATAAATCTGTCAATATTACCTGAGCAAAGAGACTTGTAGGAGAAAGTTCTGACGGACTTAAGGAAGGAAATACTCATACCCTCATTCCTGTTGGGGACTGAAAAACATTCAAGGTTGCAAAGTGAAAGTAACTAAGTCAGCTTTCCACAGCAGGGAGAAAATCCAGCGTATGTTCAGCTTTACTCAGGGACAAAATGGCTTCCAGATCAGAGGAGGATTACTGCTGTCCGGTCTGTCATGACATCTTCAGAGTTCCGGTTGTTCTGTCATGTTCCCACAGCTTCTGTAAAGACTGTCTGAGCACCTGGTGGAAGGCGAAACCACTGCGTGAGTGTCCAGTTTGTAAGAGACGATCCTCAATGGTGAACCCACCTGTTAGCCTGGTGTTGAAGAACCTGTGTGAGGCCTTCGTACAGGAGCAAGACCGGAGAGCATTGGAGATCCTCTGTAGTGTGCACTCTGAGAAACTCAAACTCTTCTGCCTGGACCATCAGCAGCCGACTTGTCTCGTCTGCAGGGACTCGGAGAAACACACCAACCACAAATTCAGCCCCGTTGACGAAGCTGCGCCAAAGCACAAGGAGAAACTCCGGGCCACACTGAAACCCTTAAAGAAGAATTTAAATGTTCTCGAACGGGTTCAAGGAAAGTTAAGCAAAACAGCTGAACACATTAACGTCCAAGCCCGACAAACTGAGACTCAAATGAAGGAGCAGTTTCAGAAGCTTCACAAGTTTCTAGAAGAAGAAGAGCAAGCCAGGATGGCTGCTTTGAAACAGGAAGAGGAGCAGAAGATGCAGATGATAACGGTAAAGATGGACGCTCTGGGCGTAAAGATAGCCGCTCTTTCAGACACAATCAGAACCACAGAGAAGGAGCTGAGAGCTGAAGATGTGTCCTTTCTGCAGAACTACAAGGCAACAGTGGAAAGTATCCAGCGGCAGCACCCCCTACTGGAGGAACCACAGCTGGGCCCGGGAGCTCTCATAGATAAGGCCAAACACTTGGGCAACCTGACCTTCAACATCTGGAACAAGATGAAGGAGATGGTCTCCTACACGCCGGTGATTCTGGACCCAAACACAACAAATCTAGAACTCATCGTGTCTGATGATATGACCAATGCGAGAGGAGGGGAGAAGCAGAATCTTCCCGATAATCCGGAGAGGTTTGACGATTATTACATCGTCCAAGGCTCTGAGAGCTTTAACTCGGGGACTCACACATGGGACGTTGAAGTTGGCGACAATACATTCTGGTCAATAGGTGTGTTAGCGGAGTCATACCAGAGAAAGGGACCCACACAGACTGGATTATGGGAAATGCGGTTCCATAAAGGGGAATACTCGGCACGGGCACTACCAGCTGCAGCCACTGATCTGGGGTTGCAGAGGAAGCTGAAGAGAATCAGAATGAGTCTGGACTGGAGCAGAGGAAAGCTGACCTTCACTGATCCTGACACTAACACACTCTTACACACCCTCAAACACACCTTCACTGAGAGGCTGTTTCCATACATTAGCACAGTGGATAAAGTACCGCTGAAGATTTTACCACTGAAGGTCTGTGTGAGCAAACAAGTGTGAGAGTTTTTAGTTTGAAGGCGGTGATAATAGTAGTAAAAAGCTCTTTATTTCTTTTTTATTTAATATGTGTCCAACTATTGATGTGAAAACACATGTTTGAGCACATATCTTAAACGACAGTAAATAAATAACTTCATCAATCTCGTTTGACTGTAAGATATCTGCAGCAGCAAAAAGAATATAACTACAAGTCCAACTACTGAAGCTATCTGAAGATATCTGAGTTTATGTTAAAATGAGAATAAAATCAGGACTCAAATATGTTTTTTTACATGTGGACCTAATTATCTTCCGCTAGTAAAGTAAAAATAAGAAGTGGATGAAAACAGTATATAAATAAGCAGTCACCTAAAGAAATGTTCACTACATTATTTGTATGGCCAAAATAATTCATGATAGCAATATAGAACATTTTGGCCTTTGGGAGGAAGACAAAAAAATATTGGAAATGATTTATGAAGAACTGCATTATTTACACGATGTTATAATGTGCATCTTTGTTTGAATTTTTCAAAGATCACAGTTATTGTCAATACAGGTATGTGGCCCTTTGAAATATTGATGTTTAGATAAACCGAGAATACAATTCTTGTTCAGTACTTCCTGTAAATCGATTTAATTTGTTTTAACTGTCTATAATTTGAACAGTCATCTGCATTTAATCTTCCAGACAGTTTTACTGACTAACTTAAATAAACGTTGGATTTATTTAGATTATTATAATGTATTTAATGGTTGAACTGACATATGAGACATTAATGGGTTTTGGCCAAGTGTTCAATTATGTAAGAGGGACAGTTTTGAAAGAAAGAGGATTTATGTATATTAAAAAGACCTAAACGTATCCATAAATCCGAGCCCTCAAACTATTTTTGGCTCTGAAATCCAATTGTGCACAGAACTAAGAGGGCTTACCATCACTTATATTGAAAAAGGAACATGTCTTTGGGGCTGCTAACAGAATGGATTTTGGGTATCGACAGGGGTAGCCAATGATTGTTTGTTTATCACCAACTACTATGTCCAATATTAACAAAAAGCTATTCTTCTTTCCATGTTTTTGAACCATTCATTTCAACCTCCAGCTTTGATAGCATTACAATTCAGTTTCCATCTGTTCTTGTAATGCATTTCAGCTTGTTGGTCTTTATTCCTGGCAGTTTTACAAATTCAGTTTTCAGGAAAGCAGGACTGAAGTTTAATTCATTTGAGCTGTAAAAACCTTTTCAGACATGTTTACTTTTCTGCATTTTTCAGCAATGCTTCGAATCGGGTTCAGTTTTCAGGGTTCATATGCATTTTCCTAGTTATAATCATAATGCAACACGTGTGTACCTACAGGAGTATATTATGGGTAAAAAAAACATGCTTGTGTCACATAACTTTGCAGTGAGGTCTGAGTTCAAGTTTAAATCAGTTAACTCCAGCACATATGAAATCTTGCACTTGGCATTTAATGTTTCATGCAAACTTACTTAAATGATTGTCTCAGAGTTGGCCCAGAATATGGACATGGGTCATCTCCATTCTGATATTATCCAGCTTTCTGCTTTGCTCATTTTCAATGACGGCATGTTTAGTTATAGCTCATTTAATTTGAAAGTGCAGAGGAAAAAAAACAAAACCAAATGTGAAGACTGTTCGCCATCTCGTGGCCATAAATGGAACTGTATGGTAAACATTCTGATCCCATCTTACTTAAAATTTCCCAAAGCAGTCAGCTTTACTATTCTCATAAGACATTCCACACTTTAATTTAGAAAAATTACAAAATGCATTATTCATATTATTCACCAAAAACACATTTACTCTCGTAATTAAAGTCTACAACAGCTGAACTGTGAGTACAAACTAAGTCAAGCAGGAGTTGTGGTATAATATTTTATTCTCATATTTTATGGAATACAAAGCCCCGATCCCTTCCCCCCCACCCCCCAAAACAAAACGAAAAAAGTGTGCACATCAGATCTGGTGGAAACTAGTCAAGGACGAGGAAAAGAGATGAAAGACAAAAGAAAAGGGGAAGTTGCTTTATGGGGTGTGGAAGTGTACGACTGAAAATCCATGTTCATGTTCGTAAAAAAAGTAAACCCTCTCATGATGAATGAGCCCTTAACATTTTTTTTTTTAAAAATAGTCTTGCTTGAGTCTGTTGATAAAAGGGCTCCAAACAATAACTAAAATAAAATGTCTTTCCATCGATCTTTGTATAAACCATTATGACTAGAAGGGCGTAATCAATCGTGTGCAACAATAATTTAGCTTTACATTACTGCGAATTCAGTCGCTTTCCTATTCTTTTACACAATCTCTTGCTAAGCTGCAAAATAGGAATGAAATAATTCTCCCTATTTGACTTGGGAGAGAAACAAAAATACTAACAATTATAAAAAAAGAAAAAAGAAAAAAGAAAAGACAATTAGCAGAAGAAACTAGCTAGCAGGGCTACAAACGACCCCAAATATGTTCTAGCAGCCAAACTAGGTCCAATAATGTGGGCTTTTCCTCAAAAAATGGCTCTGAAACATCTGGAGTGTGTTTGACAAAGCTAGCCATAGAGTCCCAGCTAAATCTGCACCACTGGGACAAAGCAACTGAAGCACATTTAAAGTATTGATTTTTCGAAAATCTGGCCAAAAGTGGTCTTCGCTAATCTCATGATGTGTAAAAGCAACCAGCTTCGAAGACACACTGGGTATGGCAAAAAAACACACGGACAAGTATAGTGAATTAAAAATAACATTAGTAACATCACTGCCATTGAATCCATACATTTCAATGCAATTTCTAGAAGATCGGGGAGCATGATCAACCCCCCCCACCCCTCCGGGACTGTGCCACACTGATTATTATGAGATGGTTTGTTTTTTTTTGTTCATTTTCCAAAGAATGTAATCTTTTCCTGACCACTACACATCAAAAACACACCAGAAAACAAGTTAACCCGATACAATACACACAATCCAAGGTTCACGGTCCCGAAAGGTGCTGTTCTTGAAAAGAAAATGAAAAAAAAGGAGCCTCAGGTCCTCCGTGTCCACTCGGTTAAAGTGTCCGCGCGCCGAACCGGTACTTTCAGCGAGAGCAATTTGTGTGGTGGACGTTGGAAAAAGATTTTTTTTTTTAAAGAAAAGAAAAAGAAAAAGACGTGTTCAGGATGGAGGTTCTTTAACAGCTTCTCTGCTAGGGAGAATTAACAGGCTGCAGCAGCTTGCTGTCCGTGTCTATTCCTCTTTTCCGATCATTATTTCAATCCATCCATCCCGGTTCTTTCTCCTCAGGTAAGGTCCTCACACCATGTACGAGTTCTGGTTCTTCAGCTTGTCCAGCTCTTTGCTCTGCTGCCTCAGAAACAGGATTCTGTAGTTGAGGAGGAAATAAGTAAATCAATGTAATGATATGAATGTTTACTTTAGCTAATGTGGATGCTAATGTCACATTGACCTCACCTCTGTTCCCTGAGTGTGGCCTGAATTTCACACACTCTGACCAGGGAGCGCAGGTTTTTCATCTCCGTGCAGATCTCAGACATGTACAAGCTGCCCATGTTGTGGATGTCCTCGCGCAACCGAGCCGCCTGAGGGAGAGGGATGAAGCGTATTGTCAATGTTGCACACTGGGACGCAAAAGGACCTTCGAGGCATGCATTGGTTTTTAAAAAATGTGATTGAAATACAGAAACATTGGACCATTGGGCGGCTATGGCTCAAGAGGTATTACACTGATCTACCAATCAGAGGATCAGTGGTTTGACCCCTCCCTCTGCATTCAACACATCGGACTTACCTTGGACAAGATACCCAACTCCAAAAAATGCTCCCATAGTCATGGCTTCAGTATTGAAGTTTATGCAAGTCGCTTATGTCATGTGCTGTCTGCTAGGTCTAAGTGGGGCATCCATAAACATGTACATTATAAGACTTGCATATAACATAAAACTATCAAAACGTTTGCTTGCAATTAACCTGCTGAACACACTGACTGATATTCAGTACAACTTATTATTAGCAACAGGTGGTTACACTACTGGCATAAGTCATTAGCATAAATAACATTACTGAGAGTTTGCAACACTAACATGTTCATTATATCTATGTACAGATTACAGGTAATGAAATAAAACATTATAATCCAATTACAGCACTTTTAAGAACTTTACTACTTTATACTACTGGGGTATCTACGTGTTTTTTTCACACCTGTGCTAGATTAGATTCCTTTTCATAATTTTTCCTTTAGGACTGAAACTAATTATTCCAAAAATAGTTTCAGAATGCCGCTTTAAATGTCTAGTCCTATTTTTACTGTTATTGTAGTGGTAGGAATTTAATTTAAGAGTGCTGTCAGATTACTGCAGTTTTGTCACAACAGTGAAAATGTTTTTCAACATTTATTTGAAAATATTTCACATCCAAGTTAATTATTGTTACAAAACTGATTAATTGCATCGGGAGAACCGGTGAGCTCAGAGACAAAGATAGAAAAATATATATCAAAAGTTTTTCTATTTTTATTAAATAATAACATATATTAAATAAATGTTCAATAACCCAGGTATACTGTATTTTTTTTTTTTTTTCCAAAACGTTTCAAAACCCCGAGTTCCCCTCACGTCAAAATCACAAACTTTCAAGGATTCAAAAGGACCATGCATAGTTTTTTTGTACTTGGGGCAGTACCTGTTTCTCAGTGTTCTCTGAAGGCCATCCTTGGATATGTCTGATGAGGCTCTCGTCAAAATGAGTTGCCAGGCTGGGGGTGAAGGTGCCGGGGTTGTCGGGCTGGGTCTGGCTGCTGCTGCCGGGGGGGGCGTGGGGCAAGGCAGCGCCGGGTGCGTTTGATCCAGAGCACAGGAGCTCCTGGCTGCTGGGGCGAGACAACGAGTGGGGGGGGGGTTCAGATGCATTTTCGCTTTGGATCATGTAAACTTTAATTTATCCATGTGTAGCATTTACTTCACTGCTCCGTTATTACATTTGTGTGAATAAACATCCTCAACGTTGTATTTACCACTTTAACTGCCATGAGAAATTCAAGTGAGATGAATAATTGCTTGACAAGTGTGATAAAATACTACTGGACAAAAGAACTACAGAATGATCATGTAATGGTGTGCCTCCATACTGGACTATAAGTAACTACGTCTTTCCAATAAGACACCTTTGGAAACTATTTCTACTAAACAAATAGTCCCTTTGAAAACTGTTGATGTTGCTGTTGAGGTCTGTCAAATATGTTTTTGGAATTCAGTTGTTCTTTTAGTTTACTTTCTTCTGGTTGTTTTAAGCGTTGACCTTACCCCCAGGCAATTTTTTAGCACAAAATTAAAATGGCGTCTTGAAGTGATTCCTACCTTCTCTGCTGGATAATTCTGGGGTCCTCGGGACGCTTCTCTGCGGTCTGAGGCACAGGGACTGGTCCTTGTTTCGCTGAAGACATGCTGCCCTGTGGAGGGGAAAAGAGATGGCACGAGGTGAAGAAATAGGAGTGAAAACAAAAGGGTGTTTTGTCAAGGAAGAAAGTGGGGTTGAGTCATGAGCAAGGGGAAGTACTCCTCGTCTACTTTAGGTCCTGCGACTCACCCTGGTTTGTGAGGATGTGACGCCGCCAGGGTGCATGCCCAGGGGGGGTTTCTGGGAGCTCTGCGGCGTGCCGTTCCGTGGCGAGACGTACGGCCGCGGTGATGAGGCGTCCGACGTCAGGGAGACCGGGGACTGACTGGAGTGCTGGGCTGAAGGAGGGAAGGCTCTCTCATTACTCACAAACACTCATCAGCTGTGACCATGCATCAACCCTGGCGTTGTTCAGTATCAACACAAAGCCTGCAGTCCATTCCGTGCAAAAAGTGAAGTATTGTACACATGAAGAATTGATTTAGCAGCAAACAATGTGACAACTAGCTCACTAAAAAGGCTAGTCATACAAGTAGGGCTGCACAATGTATTGAAACTTTATCAAAAGCGCAATGTGGACTAGTGCAATATCCAAATTGCTGTATGCACAATACTGTAAAAATTAGCATCACAACAGATCCCTTGACAAAAAGCAATGCGATTTTCCTATTGAATTTCGGATTTTGCAGAAATGTCTCTCTCACATTCATGATACTCAACACGTTTCCTTTAGCTGGATATCCTTTATAGCATCACCACTTTGTGATTTTTTTAAGTGTAAATGCAATTGGCAAAAATAAAAAGCTAACGTCATGCTATAAACAAACTACATCATGGTTGCATGGCGGACTCGTGTCGACCTGATGATGTTGTGTAGTTTATTCGGCCCCTTTTAGCATGCGTCGTTTTTAATGACACATAGAAGCATTGGACAATCACCAGAGGGGTAATTACTGACGTATTTTATGTCTAAATGTTTATCTTATCTCAGGCATCAAACCAAAAATAAAACTGTTAACTCAAGAAAAGGGAACCAGAAGTGGTGAAATGCTAACTCCAGGTCTCATTCGTGAACCACTCCATAAGGACTAATGCAATATCAAAATCACAGAAAGCCCAATATTTAAAAATGTAAAATATCTGTCAAAATGTTATTCTGGATAAAGTATTGTGGTGCTGAGGGATATGGCTGCAAAATATCTTTATACAGACTTCATTAAAATACTTATTTGAGTTGAGTACAGAACTCCATCTATACCAGAACACCACACCATGATTATATTTAATTTATTTTTAAAGGAAATCTGAATAATTATGCAATAATGACAACTTCCGCTAAGGCAATTTCAATATTAGTCCATTTGTAATATAATTTGCGATATGAACATTTTTCACGTTATTATTGAAATACATAATAAAATGATCATGGTGTAATGTTTTTAAGAGGATCTGTACAAACAAGGATTTCTCTCAGGTATATTAATTAAGGAATTCTCTGAAGTACCACCATTTTTCCTTCAAAATTATATTTCCACATATTTTGCAGAGACCAAATATTGCATTAACTGCAATTTGGATATTGCACCATTCCATATTGCAATTTCAATACAATTTAGAATAATTGCGCACCAATAGGATAATACAAAAATGCCTCTGTCAAATTTTACTGCCACACTTGTTGCATTGCTCTGCAACACGTCCTCTATTTCACTACAGGCGGTTCATTCAAATACATTAGAGGACATGTTTTTTTGTTTTTTAGACGGCTATTAATCAATCTGAACATGCCTTAAACGATCCACGCTGTTACCTTGCATCAAGGAAATGCAGAATTTAATTAACTGAAGGTCAAAAACAAATTGTGTCTTAAAAAAGACGGACAGGGAGAGCAGATCACTTCAAAAAGTAAAATATTAAAATAAGGACATAAGTATGGGTGGAACAGCGTACCTTGGTTGGAGTGCTGAGCGGCGGACAGCAGAGCAGTGATGTTGAAAGCAGGTCCAGCAGTGAGGAGCTTATGAAGCACAGACCGCAAGGAAGCTTGGGTAACGGCAGCTGCCAAGACTGGAGGGAGGAAAGAGTGGACACACACAAACACAAACACACACACATAGGTGAGTGAGCTAGGACGTGCAACAGGTGTGTGCAAAAACACGCACAGAAAAAAGTAGTTCCTGATTGTTTTTCAGCATATGATTGTTGATGTTTATAGAATAAAGTAAAACACATTTTCATTTTACTCAAACACATACCTATAAATAGTAAAAACCAGAGAGATCTGGTCCATGATGGTCTCTTAACTTTCTCAAAAGCTGTATATTGTCAGGTGTCATTTGTCTGCACCAAAGTGGCTCGATTATAAGACATGCTTTGATTTTTTTCAACACCGTTTCCTCAAAAAGTAGTCCTCACCCTTTAGGTATTACCTCTCTAAAAATCAGCCATAACAATATCTTCCCCAGCAGTTAGCATTGAGAAACTCCCTCTGGAGGGAACTTTGGGTTTTTAGGGAAAACCCCCAAAAGCATAATAAGGCCTCTTTAACCTCGTCAAAAAAACAAGATTCCCGCCTTGGCAGCGAAACAGTTACCTGTGCATTTGGGCAACTTATGCATTATCCTTCCGTAAACCAGGGAAAGGGTAATGGCAGCAAGGAAATGAACCAAAAACCTGGTTTTAAGGCACCAAGACGCTGGGATCAGAGAATATCTCTCCTACCTTTTTTGTCTTTCCACCATTTTCTCCTATGCTTTGGAAAATCTTAAGCCTCTTAAATATCCTCCTCCCCTCTCCTAAAATGTTTGACCTTTAGAGCTTTATTTAGTGCTTAGACGCTGTGTGAATAAATGTTATCTTTACCAGGAGGTAGTCTTAACTTTAATGGGACAATTCTCAGAAAACAATTAAAAAAAATAATCTGACATTTGTTAGGTGGAGCAACTTTTCTAACACGGTAGATTTAAATCCTAAACAATGTAGCTACTCAGTGGCCACAACAATTGATGAAAGGTTGCTTAATTGATCTACCATGTATATATTTTTTTAAATAATTTTATATACAAAGCAAAGGGGAATTTTTCTGAATGTGTGTGCTCTTAGGATAGGCTGGGCTAACATAAGACTACATTTAAAAAACTGACATCAGTCTGTGTAGGCGCAGGTGTTTAACTGTTGTGAACAGGCTGGTATTCTAATATAATACAACCTCAACTTTTCCAAATACAATCAAAACAAGTCTTAAATATGGTCCAGTGCAGATCTAGGGGAACATTTCACCCTCTGGAAGACAGCCATGTGAAAGTGACATGTTGTGTTTCTGTTGTGCCTCACCCTCGTTGAGTTTGGCCATGTCCATGTTGCCGTTGTTCATCTGCAGAGTGGCCTGCAGCGCGGGCAGCAGCTGGTGGAGGAGGGCGGGGTCCTGCAGCAGCGCCGGGGAGGGGGACTGGACAGACGGAGGCGCCTGGCCCGAGGAGGAGGAAGAGGAGGTGGAGGAGGACATGGCGGAGGGGGTGGAGCCTAAAGCACCAGGAGCAGAGTTCAGGCTCTGAGAAGAAGAGGAAGAGGAATGGCCGGAGTTGGACGCTGTGGACTGGTCCCCTGATGTGGCCTCTGTGAGGGAGAGCGGAGGAATACTTAACACGAGATTTGACGAGGTAAACCGAGACGATGTGTGGACCGGAGACGTAAATGAAAAGAAATTAAGATATTATGTAGATGTCTCTTATTTCACCTTTTTATTGTACATTTATTGTAACTATTGTTATGTGTATATATACACACACACACACACACACATATATAGTTTCTATTATACACTTTTTTAAATGGGGAAACTGTCACAAAACCCAATTTCATTAACTGTCATAAATATTTCCACTATGAGATTTTTTTTTTTTAAATGATCACCGATTCAGTGGTTCAAGACAACAAAAACAAATAAAAAAAATGTCATTATTTTTAGAACAATTTAAAAGACAACACTTTTACAATATCAAAAATCAAACATGAAAAATCTCATATCATGATATTAATTCAATATGAATATAATAAACATCCCTATTTTGCCTATAAACTTATTAAAGTTCAATAAACGCATATATCGGATATTTATAAAGTGATTGTGCAAATGTTCTTCCTTTAGTCAGATGACGTTGAAATATTTCAGGGTATGTGGACCAGCAACAGAAATTCTAAAGCAAACTCTGAACTACCTACAATGTTGATGATGATGATGACCATGTAAAAAACAAATAGCTTTGTTTTATGAATCTGTTTAACTTACTTGTTGAGGCTTTGTCCTGCAAGGCCTCTTGTCTGTAGTCCATGTCCCGGGGGAAACTGTTCGCCGGCATCTTGACTGGGTCTTTCTGTCGTTGTTCCCTGAAGCAGATTAAGCAGAAAGTGACAATTTGCAGGCTGCGGTTAGACTCTGAACCCTAAGCTAATGATACCCTGAGAAGACCTGTGTGCTGCGTGATCTGTGAGGGAGTCACTAATGACATGTAAATGCATGACGTAATAAAGAAAGCATCTTATCCAGTAAAGTTAATCAGGAAACTGATATGTACTTAAATGTGGGTGATTTTTTATTAAAAGCTTGAAAGTTTAATATAACCTAAAATAAGGTATCTAAAATAAGAGTTGTTTAGGGACTGATGTAAAATAATTGCCAATAATACCCAGGGTAGTTTATAGTTATATTACCCATCAGGAGGGAGTTATGTTTACATTTTTCCTTTACTTATTTCAAAGTTTGAAGTTGGTGATTTATATGAGTGTGATTTGTTTTGTTGGCTATGCATTATGGTATCTAAAATTCAAGATATAATTAAGAATATTTCATAAAAGTAGACAGTACTGTTTTACTAGTTCAGCTTTATAGAGTAGTGCAGGAATGAGTGCTTAGCCTGAAAATGGGTTAGCATTTTAGCACTTCTGGGCTCCTATTTCAAAGCTACTTTTTGGACACGTTTTAGCTAGATTCCCAAAAATAAAGTCTGTGGGTAATACAAGCTTACGATATTTCAAGTTTGTATAACGACATAAAATGTGTCAGTAAACACCGCACCTGTGAACATTTGAAGCTTTCACACATCTTGAAAAATGGCAGTTGCCAACAAGTGACGAAATAAGACTACTAAACGTCATCACGCCGAAGATTAGCTGCCTTTAGCTTACAGTGTTGACGCATAGTCATGTGACCATTATGTAGTTTGTTTATAGCCTTAATATTACTGTTACTCCACCGATTGCATTTACGCTTCAACTATTATAAAAGTGCCGTAAATATGTGGACTCTTATCATAAACGTGTTTGCCACAGATCTTATTTTCGACAATGGAAAAATCCAGTTGCTATTTCCAAGTCAGCCTACAGCTAAATGACTTACTCCATTTTAAGTTTAACTAGCAATTTATAACCTATTACATTTCTAAAGTAACCTGCCTAACGCTGCATGACTTGGCCTTAGAATGAGATTCTTGATTACCAATTCATGTCAATGATCTTGAGAAAGTCATCCACGCCTTTATATCGTCCGTCTTGACTACTGCAACTCCCTATATACTGGGACCTGTCAGTCATCCCCGTCCCGCCTTCAACTGGTCCAGAACCCCGCAGCCAGGCTCCTCACAGGTACCCGGAAAAGGGACCATATAACCCCCATTCTGTCCTTTCTCCACTGGCTGCCAGTGCGCTTCAGAATTGATTTTAAACTGTTTGTATTAATGTTTACGTCGGTGTTTCTTTTATTTATTTTATGAAAGGTTGTGTTACTACCTACTCTGTTCTCGACAGCACTTTGGTCAATGTGGGTTGTTTTTAAATGAGCCGATTGATTGATGTTTAAAATTGTACGCATTGCAACATTTCAATTTAAAAAGGACTTGCCTCTCCAGCAGGTCCTTGGGCTTCTCCCACTGGGAGACCTCAGTTCTACAGTTGTAGTAGTACTTCTTCCCAGAGGAGCTGATGTGTTCTGTCCAGTCATCTGATGGCTCCTGGTGCTGAGAACACAACACATGAGACGTTAATAGGGGTTATTGTGAGAAGTTAAAGAGCACTACAGAAAACCTCCTTAAAAGTAGTAAATAAATAATGACATTTCCAAGACGTATATAATCATAATACGAGGAAGCTAATGGCCTTTAGCAACAACACTGATTGGAAAAGGGGCTCCTATGCTCCCCTAAAGATAGTAGCATTTAAAAAAAAAGATTACAACGGGGGAAAAACTGTCCTTGCGTATGACTGTTCATCTGACTGTAAAGACTCCCAAGTTTCTGTTTAAAAAACAAAAGTAATCATCCATGTACTCTGGCAGGCATCTCTTGCTTTTCACCCTCAATATCGATTAGCTTTTAAGTATGGATGGCAGCTAGTAATATAAATAATCATGGTCATGTTTACGCAAACAATTCCAGTCATTGTGACAATTCAAGGGAGAGAATATACTTAGCATCATCCTGTTGTTACCATTTAAATTGCATCAAATTCAAAACGGACTAATTTTTGTAGAGGAGGCTTGAGCCACAACAATACATTATTTAAAAAACAAAAAGGGGTTAGCTGACCTAAACTAAGATAAACATGCACATTGAGAATTACTCTAGATTATAGCGGATGTAATTTGACACTTACTACTGCAACAAAAAAAGGCTTTAAATGCTATAATTTGCAGGAAATATATAATAATAAAGAAATAATGTATGTTCTGGGCCTAGAAATCTCAGCACAGAAAAGGCATAATTATCAGTGTGCATATATTAGCAAAACATAATCTATAATAATTTAAACTTGCTAAACCTAAGCTGAAAAGCACCTCTGTCTCTTCCTGTGTGGATTTCCTTTCCTCTCATCTGTCTATCTCATGACTGAAGCATAAAGGTGAACACATGAGGAAAAGCTAGCCTTTTTGCAACACATTTGTCACTTAGTTGTAGAAGTCATGCTGTGTATACATATGCACCACTCCCTCCTGTCTACTTCAAAATGACAACAAATAACAGTGAACACAACTATTGGTTTTTGCAGACTAGCCATTGAACAGCATGAAGATTCTATGTCACATTATCCCTGTCGAACTGGTTTGCGATATTATCCCGTTAATCATCAAACTATGCTTCTTTATATGATTCCTAAAATGGCACTTGAACCTAATTGTATTTAAGAATCAAATAGTTTTTGAATCACAGATAGGATTCATCTTTTTAAGTGAACAGCGTTTGTAGTGAAAAACAAAGACTTGACCTATTTTAATGACCCTAAAGAATAGTCCATCTACATAAATAAAAGGAATTAAAAACAAAATCAATATTGTGAGTCTGTTCTTACATGATTACTCCTACTATGCATTTTTTCGAGATTAAGGCTCTTTCTTCACTTATCCAGCATGATAGTGAGCTTTTTAAATAATATTCATGATTATCCTTGTCACCTACTTTATGCGACATTTTTATTGCTATCTGCAAAATAAATCCTACATCATCTTATCTCTATCCTAGGAAATGTCAAATATTTAGTATCCGGTCTTACTGCTCAGTAAAAGCCAGTGACGAAGTGAGATGTATGATGAGATTTCCTAAATATTTTAACAAAGACAAGCCTGTAACATGAATATAAAGATCCAATCATGCATTGTTTTGAAGAGAGAACTGTCTACACAGAAAGATGCCTCTATATAATGTCCCGCATACCATGTTGCCCAGTGGCGTGACAGTTATTTCTACAGGAAATGCTGAGGGTATATCATCAGATAACAGCGGACAACGTCTTACCCTGTCTGCAGGCTTGCTCTGAGTCGCATGCGAGTCGGAGGCATGGTGGGAGCTGTTGTTGTGAGAGTTCTCCTGAGGAGAGCCGCTGGTCCCTGCAACAGAGACATTCATCAAGTCACAGAAAATACACAGTGTTCTGCAGAGGACTGAGACTTAGTGCAGCTGAGTGAAACGCTTTGTAAGGTTGTGTTTGCAGTGTTCACATTGAGCAGTGATAGCTGTATTGTGACCTATCATGCTATTTTTAGGCAATAGCATAGGTCTCGGATATATAAAAATATATAAAAAAACGTGTCTATGAAGTGTTTTGCTCAAAATACCAAACAGATCACACATTATTTCACTTCCCGTTTCAAAAGTGCTGATTTTGGGTATAAAGCTTTAAAAAATTAAAAATTGATAAAAAATACAAAAGGAGGGGTCTGAGCTCATGCGGGACCCGGCAGCTACCGTCTAAACTAAATACTGCCGTGATGAAACGCCATATCATGGATTATCAAGGATTATTTCTGAAACAGTATGGAGCTCAAAGGCTTTCTCTCTTGCCGGTTATACCACAAGGTGAGTTCCTTTTTATTTCCTGCTTCTTCACACACATGCTCTCCAGTACAGGTTAGCTCTGAGTGTTAGCGATGCTAATGTAAACATGCACCGACCATATTACGTCCAAAACAGTCGGACATTGTTTCTGATAGCAACGTTTCTGATAGGGCCGTTGGTGTAAAGCCAGCCTACATTTCCAATATTACGCCATATCGGACACAAATCTGGATCAGCTCCGTTGTAGCCCTGTTTTCGAGATTTGGGTACGGAGGAAAAGAGAGGGTTTTATTTTCTGATGCTGCGTGAGTTCCCTGACACACCGGGGACACATATTTATGTATAAAAGACATCAAAAAGTGCATTTTGCAAGATAGGTCCCCTTTAATGTAGGAAAGTCTTAATTTCCCTCGAAAAGAAGGCAAGAAGATATCAAAATTAAAAAAACCTATTAAGCAAATTGCTTTTTTAAAAGAAGACCCATTATGTGTTTTGGAGTTTTCCCTCTCCTGTAGTGAATTATATAGATTTTTGAGCATGTAAATGGTCTGCTAAGGCTAAAATCTCGTGCCAGGGGGAGTTTCTCTACCCTGCCTGAAAAGCCTAATTTGGAGTCCTTTGTTTACTTCCGTACCATAATGACATCACACTAGTGCTCAAACACATTGTGCGTGATAGGCTAAGGGGGGGGGGGGGGGACATCTCTAAGCGGTTTACCAATCAGAGCAGACTGGGCTCTGGTTTCAGACAGAGGGTGAAAAGAGGTGCTGCAGCACAGGCAGTATGAGAAAAATAAAGAGCTTTTTGAACATTAAAGCACATAAACATGTCAAAGTAGAGGAACAAAATACAAATGCTAAATTGAGCATAATATGTACTCTTTAAACAAAACATTGGCCGAAAATGTCACATTCATTGCATCCGAGTATATACAAGTCCACAATGTAAGTATAAAAAGCAAGTTAAAATGAACAATGCAAAAGCTAATACTCATCAAAAAACCCTACATCAAATGAACTACAATAAGATAAGTGCTACAACAATCTGATATATTCTATTTGCCGTGCAATAGCTGAAGCAAATTGTTCCCCTTTCCTTTTTGTCTAGAAACCTTTATACATCATATACATATATCCACGTGTAAGACTAAAAGATCCATGCTTACCATTTTTTCCTCTAACCGTGTGAGAGGTTTTTGCCTTGCCATGCCCCGCGCCGTCTCCATGTCTGCTGACAGGACTTTCGTCAGAGCGTCGCAGCATCTTGTAAGGGGGCGTGGGGTCTGATGAGCCATCGCGCACCTTGTCATAGCGGTGAAGGCTGCTAGACTGGCTCTTTGGCTGAGATTTATGGGTCTGGATTGAATAAAGCGTGAGAGAAAGACTTGTTGGGATGTGGATGTGTCATTAGATTGTTAAATACATTTCCAATGCGTGAAATCCACGTCTCTAATAAATATTACAATTTTAGTCTACAGGAGATATTCTCTGCCTTCGAGCATTTATTGAACGTAGCCTACAGGAAGCCAGTATTAGGAAGGTATGTTCAAGGAATACTATGGTGTCCTAACTGGACAAGCCTGATGCCAAATCAACACAATTGAGAGAGAGAGAGAGAGAAAACTCTCCTAAGCTTTACAAAAACATTACACAAACTACCACAGCAGGACTTCCTATGGAGCGTTTTGTAAGAGCCATGTAAGTGAATGTAAATACAATCTTAAATGGTTTATTTTGTTCAAAAGTATTATTAAGTTACATTATAATTGGGAGTTTAACTGGAGTGGTAATTGAGACCCGACTCATGCTTTATACATGAAAATGTATGTTGAGTTCGATCAGGGTTGATACATTCACCATATAACTACATGGATATTCATTTACTCTAATGGAAATACTGCACTTTGATTAGTCATGTATGTTAGAGGAAACTGATGACAGGTGACTGATGTCATATGTCATACCTGATAGGATTGTGAATCCCTTCTGTCGTTGCACCTGGGAAAACACACAGAACAAAAATGTTTAAAATGTTAGCATTTGAACGATGTGGTTAGTTTTCTCAATTAGCAACACACTTTCTGGAACATATTAAACGTTAGCTACCGGCTATTGATAGCCGTTAGCAAAGTTAGCTTGATTCGCTACCTTGGAAACAAGTTTTTTTTATCAATAGCGGAATTGAACCGACCATTTTTTGAATGTATTATACTTAATGTAGACTATATACGAGAAGTGTATCTTTATCATGTTAGTTAGCTAACATTACGTATACGATAAGCTTTAGGAAATAACCGGAACCCAAAGCTAATTGCATAAACTGTTAGCTTGTAGCACTGAAAGCTAAAGGCTACAGCCAAAGATAAATAACCGGCTAACAAATGAAATATATGGTAAACCAAAGGACTAACTTTAAATATGTTACAGTGTGTGCTTAAATTACCCATCGCTGACTCTTGCTGGTTTCCTTGCATACATCACCATCAAGGCCGTGGTGATGTGTGTGTGTGTGAGAGGGGGAACCGTGGCCTCCTGTATGTCTGCTCTCACAGTTCTCTTTTCTTCAGCTTCCTGATATCTGGATTCTCTATAACCTACCAAACAGATACCTACAAGCTGTGCATCGGGCACAAGCACTGCATAGCGGGTGGTCTTTATCACAAACCACCCTCAGTGCATCGTCTGGCATATAGTTACGGTATACGCTTAGTTCGGCCGATGTAGTTGAGCGAAAAGCAGCAGAGTCAGGAGGAAACGGAGAAGACGGACCCCTCGGTAATGTTTAGCTAGAGAAAAAGAAGTTCCGCTTCTATATTTCAAAATAAAAGAACTGGCAAATATGCTATTTAAGGAAAGAAAAAAGAGAGAGATGAAGAATACATTGTTAACTTCTTCAAGTGTCATTCAATTTGGCATTTAAAAGCAAAACAACCCAACATATTAATGGTATCAATAAATTGTAAAGAATGACGGCTGAAACAGTGCAGAACACTTGTATATTTATATTCCTAGTGTAGTTATGACAGAACATGTCTCAATTGGACGTACAGTGTGTACACAAACATATAATAATAAGTAAAACTGTACATCCCATTGAGAAATAATGTCATGTTTTTTTATCAAACAGGGAAATGCAGAATTGGCTACCAGAACAAATATGTATATATTTTAATGTTTTTGTTGATACATTGAAAACGAAACCCTGTTATCATTCTTGTCAAAGAAAATCGACCTCGTTAACCAAACATTTAACATGTTCTTTCTTAAGTATTTCTTACTTTGACCATTTAAAGTTTACGCTCTTGTTTTGAAGTAAGTAACTCAATTTCCGGTATTAGCCTAGCTGTCTCTGGCTAACGTGACGCAGCTATAAACGGAGCTAGTTGTTGCTGTGGACTCCTCCTACGAGTTCACATCTCGTTTGCTGGACATTTTCTGGGACACACCCACGGTCTGTGCTAGTCTGCTCTGTTGTCTCCATCCTCTTGGAGATACATGAACACTTGACTACCATACACTGTAGGCCTATGTCTAATACTGTGTTCTCCTCCTTGCACTCAGTTGGTGTGGTGTGGATAATGAGGCAGTACATCATATACTGAATGAATCTCTGGTCAGTGCACAGATGAGCAACAAATAAACCTTTATTTCTGCATTTATCCCATACACAACACATGTATTTTGATAAACTCTCTGTTAGCTTCCCCACAGAGAGGTCAAAGGTCTTGAAATGCACACTGAACATGGTAAGTATGCAGTGCTTTGAATAAAGTGTCCTAAAGCCCCCAATGAAAATAATTATAATGAAAGCCCCCAAAATAGGGTGAATATTTGAATATTTTGACATGCATGAACCAAAATGTCCCTTCCTGTGATTGCTAAGGTTGATGCACATGCACACAATTATTATTCCTTTAAAAACCAAAATATTTATATAATTCATTACCAAAGAGAACCATTTGAAATAAAATAGCAAAAACGAACTAAAAGGATGCAAATGCTGACCTAAAAAATAAATGTAATCTTAAATCTGGAAAGTAAACTATAGGCAAACTGTACGCCCCATTCTCTTTGATTGCTGTATTGATTATCCGTCGGCTTGATTTAGGTCAGACCTGACACCTATTGACACAATAAAGGACAGTCTCTTTCTAAAATCCAGCCAGTTGATCGCATTACAACCCGTCTCTACAAGTAGATGTTCAAATGCAGCTGCTACTCTTTGGGTATTAAGGGATAAGGCCTGTCTGAACTGGGCCTGATGGAATGGAGCGTCTCTGGTGAGTGCATCTTACATTTTGTGTGGGAGTTTGGGGTGTACATTTACTTAACTTAAAATGTGTTGGATTGGTCATAAACATTACACTCCTAATCTGTAAACTCAATTATTTGTCAAAAACAATTCATTATTTACTCACAATATTTTTATTTTATTATTAAATTACTGCTATTGATAATAAAACTAAAATAAATATCAGCTTGCATTTAATATTCTGTTTCTCTAGCTATGCAGAGAAACAGAATATTGACATGACAATATTTATTTACAGTTTAAGTATAACAAGGGAATTTAGATGGAACAAATCTTCAATTCAACCAACCATTACATTATTTTAAGCGTTATATATATATATATGGTTTGAGTTATGTTTTCATATTTCGTTTGATGCAATTTTAGGTGAGTAAAACTCACCTGGTTAGTCTCAATATAATGCAAATGTACAGGGTATTACAAATCTAATTGATGAACAATTTAATGTTTACTCATGTACATTGGTGTATGGACAGTGAAAACGTGCAATAGAACAGATGTTGAAATATGTAATTCCAGCATTAGGGGGCAGTAATATCTCAGAAGAAGCATACATACATTGTGGAAAAAATAAACATTTATTTTTTATTTTTCTGCCACACTTTCTTTTACCAATAATAAAAACAAAATAAATCTGGAGAATATTATGAGTGTATATATATCAAGGGATAATATATTACTTTTTTCTTTCTTTTTCTTCCAGAGTGATGAGAATGCTGAGCCGAACAGAAAACAGAGGTGGGTCCAAAGTGTAGCAGGTTATCAGGTTATTTTAGGCGATATGTTGGTAATTTGATTCGATATTTAATTTTTCACCTCCCTTATCCTATCCTTAGAATACCTGCAAAACTGTACAATAAAGTAATATTTAATAGTTGTTCTTATAACACCCTCTATGTAAGATATCACCTCCGTCTTTGTTTTTTTTTACCTCACCTCATAGCATTAAAATAAGATCAGTAAATGAATACCAGGTGCAGGAGCTGTGCTCATTGGTGTACGTGTTCTGCTGCTCCTGCAGGCGTGTGCAGGCTGCTATCTTCAGTGATGTCTGGAACAGAGTCTCATACGGACAGAGAGGAGGACTACAGGTTCCTCAACAGCATGCTGATGGAGAAGAAGCTCCACCTGCTCTTTAAGGTGGAAACACATTTGTGCTTTAAATAGGCCTTATTATGCTTTCCGGATTTTCCCTTTCCTGTAGTGTGCTATACAGGTTTTTGTGCATCTAAATCAGGGGTGCCCATTACGTCGATCGCGATCGACCGGTCGATCGCAAAGGTATATTGGGTAGATCGCATGGCATTGAAGAAGTTTTTTTTTAAAGTTAGCCTATCATCCATCCTTACTATGGCATTTGCCACTTGATTGACGTACAGGTAAGCCAGTCTGAGTTGTATTGTGCCATACAGGTTCATGCAGTTATGAGGGGGCCTCACCTCCTCATCTGAAGCGCAAATGCGGCGCACTATTATGCGCTTATGCGGCGCAATTAGTGTAAACAGATTGGGCAGGGGCGCCCTGTAGGTAGATCTTTTGGGCTTGGTCATTTTAAAAGTAGCTCCCAAGCTGAAAAAGTGTGGGCACCCCTGATCTAAATGGTCTGCAAAGGATAAAATCCCAAAGGTCCCTCCAGAGGGTGTTTCTCTCCTACACCCTCCCCCCCTGCCTGAAACGCCTCCATTGGACTTTGTTTACTGCATCACAAGCAGTATGAGATAATAAAGACCTCTATTTACATCAAAGCTTGTAGAAATGTCACAGTAGAGGCACAAAATACAAATATGAAGCTGAACATGAGCATAATAGGGCCCCTTTAATGATTCGTGCTTGAGTTTTTTCCACTTGTTACTTCTTACTTAGTAGGTTAAATAACAAAAGTATTATCCATATGCAGTGGTTGACAGTAACAGTATCTACTAAAGTACTGTACTTGAGTACAATGTTATGTTACTTACTTACTGTACTTTACCTAAAGTAAGTATATATATTACCACAATTGAAGCATTTTTACTGCACTGCCTTTATTTATAAACTTTGATTACTTTCGAGTTCCAGATCCAGATGAATAATACAAAATGTAATCTTATCTGTAATGTCTTACTACAAGTTAAGATACACTTTATTGAACCTAAGCTAACTTGCAGAAATAAATGTAATTAAAAAAAACTCCTCATTTACAAGCTTTCAATAAATTATATTTTATTTCTATAAATAAATCATTTAAGATGTAAAAGTAGTAGTTATAATAGTAGTTGTAGCAGTATTAAGAAATGCATAAAGTGCCTTTTTTACTGTAGAGAAAACCTTCATTGTGATACTTTCCTGACTTGGCAGATCCACGAGCGTCTGAAGCGTTTTGAGAAGCGGAGCCCCATCCCCGTCCAAGAGCACGCAGCGAGTCTGGCTTCAGAAGTAAGTGACTCTCTCCAAACATTTTTGCAGAGGATGACAGTTTGACAGCAGAGGGAACAGGGAAGACATTGTTCAAATCGTTTCCTCCACATCGAGACATATTATCTGTCGCACAGAAGCACGAGTGGATCGACCATCCTTCTTATGTGCACCAAATTATGAAATTTTATCTCAAAACTCTCTCTGTCACCTCTGATTTTGTCACTTGAAGTGTTGTGTTATGTCTTCAAGCCAGGAGTAAGGTCAGTGAGGACGGTGCAGAACAAAAGGCTGCTAAAACCATTTTGTGTGCAGTCTAATGTTGCAGGTTGGATGAATACAGTTAACTTCAGATTTAAAATGAAGTGACAGAGAGTGCTCCCACTACGGCACCACCAGTCTCGATTCCCATGAAATAGATGTGAATGATCTTTCAAATACCAGTCCTTTTTGTTCCTGTTAACCAATCACTGCTATATTTCCATCTCACCCAACTACCTTCCTTGAACCACTTTGGTAATTTTACATCTTCATTTCCTCATTCCCCCTCTTGTTCCTGGTCAAAGTGTTAAACAAGGACATTCTAGATAACACTTTGTTCTTACTCTCCACCTTTTCTTATATTCATCCCCAAATCACACAATTATCTCTACTATAGAGGAGTGCAGGAATGAGTCCTAAACCCGTAAATTAGTTCGCATTTTAGCACTTCTGGTTCACGCCGTTCGAAGCCGACAGGTTTTTGAACATGCTTTCGGTTAGATGCCTGAAAAAAGGTCTGTGGTTAACACAAGCTTAAAGGGGACCTATCATGCAAAATGCACTTTTGTACATCTTTTATACATGAATATGTGTCCCCGGTGTTCCAGGGAACTCACCAAGTGTCAGAAAACACAACCCTCTCTATTTTCCTCCATACCCAAATCTCTAAAAAAGGGGCTGCAACGGATCTGATAAAAACTGATCCAGATTTGAACACTGTCCTGACGTCAGGACGGTGGCGCCAGAGTTCCCGTTAGCCGGTAATTACCGGACAATGACCGGTAAAATATGCTGAAGTCCGGCAAATCTAAATCTCTCCGGTCAAAATGTCCGGTCAAAATAATTTTCCCTTAGCGCAATACCGCATCAGTTGCGCCACTTATGTGACAGACAAGAATAGTATGTGACAGACAAAAGAGTATGTGACAGACAAAAATTGTCAATTCTAATGTCTAACACTTAATGTGGAGAAAGAGATGTCCTGTATGGGTTGATTGTGCGTTGATCTGTTGGTAATGCCTCGGGGTTCCGGTGGGCATGTAAACAAATGCATAATGCTGCGCTATACTTTGTGGCCTCATCCGGTTGCATAGCGACGCTTATTGTTTAGGTGTCTTTTAACAAGCAGGTAGTCATATCATTAGCTAGAACTAGCTAGATCTGATCGATATGGACATAAATGCGAGTAAAGTCTAATCTGACAGGAGAGAGAGATCGGCTGCTGCTGACGAGTCGACACGCAGCTCTGCATGATCCCCTGCAGCGGCGAGCAGAGCAAAACACACTTCAGGTTAGAAAATCACACGTAGCTATTTTAATTACCTCTCAAACTACCTAAACTAGTTATAGATATGTTTAGTTTTACTGTCGGGTCACTCATTACTGGATCCGCGAGCTGCATGATACTGACGGGCTGTCAGGAGAAGGAGAGAGCGCTCCGTTTATTATTCCCGCGTTTTTGTAAATTACTGTACACTTTTGAATAATGTAGTTAATCTACTATAATTAGTTTGTTTAATGTCGAATCATATCAATTTGTTTTAAAGCTCAATAAATAACAAAGAAGACCTTTAACCGGCACTTATCTAATTTTGTCCGGAAGATTTCAACTTTAACGGACATGTTGACCGGCAAAAAAATATTCTAACGGGAACTCTGGGTGGCGCTACGGCTATTGGGCCAACTCCACCAATCAGGAGGAGACAGCCACGGCCAATGCCGTTCGAAAGCGCTGGAGACGCTGTAGTACATATGTCAGGCCTGTAGATGGTGCTGTTCTCACTGAATCTGCCCAGAGCTAGAAATTGTCAAATTGAGCAAAATGAGGCATGGCTAAAATGCATGATCTGTTTGGTATTTTGAAAAAAAAAAAGTATAAATATGCCTTATATAGGTATGGTCCTACACTATATTATTCAAATATAGCATGATAGGTCCACTTTAAGAGATTGTCACGTATTGTTCTACAACATAAAATTGGTGTGTAAATATGCGTCATATTAACGGTGGTGGTAATGAGTGACTTAACGAGACAGATAAATGTCATCATGCAACACATGTCTGCTTTTAGCTTAGCGGTGGTGACTCACAGCCATGCGAATGTGATGTAGTTGTTCACTTTAAAGCTGCATTCACATCACAAGTGGTAAACAGCTCTCCACTGACATTGCCGTTGTGTTCCTATGAAGAGAGCGGTGCTGCCATATTAGGGGAAAGTGCAACTCAGTGTAGCGCACTGCTCCAAGCTATCACCTAGCGCTGTGCTTAAAGTTCAAATTATGAAAACTTTGACGGTTTACCACTTACCTTTTGACGCGCAACCAATCAGATAACAGCTTGAGAAAGATGCACAAGCTAGCAGGCGAAGTCACCACATGAACAAAACGTTACTTGCCGTTTTCACCTAAAGGCCCTGAGCCTAACTTCATGCTGAGCAAAATGTTAACGTTAGCTATTTACTTATTGTAATCGCATTAACGCCTAAAACATCATGAAATGGGTGTAAATATGTGGATATTATCCAGCTGAAGAAAATGTATGAATTTCTTTCTCCAAAATCCAATCGAAATGTCCCATTATGTTTTGTCAAGGGCCCCTTAGCGATGCTAAGCTAACCTGCTGACTGTTATTCTTGCCATGTTATTGTCTCTTTACCCCCCTATCCTAGCCCTGATACTCCTCTCTTCACTCCCTTAGCTTCAGATTCTGTTAGACAGCCACTCTCCGCCTGGCTTAAATCATCAGGACCCACTGGACGGGCCAAACCACGGCTCTGTTTCCCCTCAGAGAGGCTTCTGTTTGCTCACAGTGGAAACTAATGACCTTCATGCATTGTGTCTCTGGAGTGTGCCTGGACATCTTGAAGTATTAGAAGTCATAACAGTAATACACTCGACAGGACGTGCGACTGCCCACAGTCCCTCACCGCCTCTCCAGTCAAAACTGACGGTCAAGGCTGTTCTGTTTTAGCCGTCGCCGCAGATGCCGTGTAGCCTTGAATATTTGGGAGCGTTTTTTCCAACAGTGCCTAAAAGACATGAAACCAGAACAAGAACACGGACAAATAATTGACATCAAGAAGAAAAGCAAAAAAGTCCCAGTGACGTGAACAGACCACATGAAAGTGTGTCACTACAGTCTGAATCAGATACAAGTTTAAAAAAAAACTTTTTGTCTCTCTTGGCTAGTACTGACTGGAGCAAACCTCACTCAGGCCATGATATGATTGTATACCTCTAATTTTGAAATGATATACTGTCTTACTTCCAGTTGGCGGAAGAGCTGATAAACCAAGGCTGGACAGATGAAATCAAAGAACTGGTTGGCCTCTTTTCCCAACCCGACTTTAAGGTGAAGAGTATCTCCTTCTATGATGATGATGTGTTCCTGTAGCTTATAATGTGTGTCAACCTTAAACTCCCCCAGTCAAGTCTTTTGACCAGTATCTCATCATTTCTACCCAAAAAAAATGTTAAAAATAACTTAACATTTAGGAAAAAATGCTTCTTTGCTTTCTTGCCAAGAGGTATCAGAGATGTTTGTTATTAGAATAGAGGGAATCCACGAGCCTGGATTGTCAAGGATAGTGTCTTAAATGTTTTCCAATATTTCCTCCAAGAAGCCCTTTAACCTACGGCTTTATACTTCAAAATAGAAAGCCTTTGGACAGACATATTTAGCAATCTTCTCAAATGTTGTGACAATTCCAATGGTGCCAGATTCCAAACTGATTTTACTGATAGTATAAGAGGCCTTTCACAAGTTGACCTCTTCCCAACAGCACTTTGTCTCTTACAGGCTAATAACAGCAATAAAGGGATCATAGCACTGATTCATCAAACCTCGAGAGACTTCGGTGTATCTTGATAACCAGAAGCATCTTCTTTAAATGACCATTTATTTTTTCTCTCTTGAACAACACATTCATTGAACACATGCTCCAAAATTGCATGTAGTGCTGGGATGGCGGATGATTAAGTGGTTCATTGGGTTTATTCCCTTTTTCTATTTTCTTTCTCTTCCTTTCTCTCTCTTTTTGAATTTACAACATTTTGGGAAATAGTGTTATAATTGAAGTAACGTTCCATATTCTGTTTGAGTATCTAGATTGTTTTGCAGAAACCCTGCCAATAATAATATTTCAAACATAAATATCACTACAGATAGGGAATGGTTAGCTTACCTACAGACTTGAAGACCATTTATGAAGCAGGAACATAATCCACTCGGAATAAGTAGTTTTTTCTACTTCAGAGCCCCAACGCTTCATTATAAGGAACCTACTCTGGTGTTGTTACATGTCCAGTCATTTTTTCTTAATCTAGCTCACACACGAACTGCAATCTAAGAAGCTAATTTCAAAGTAGGAATGCTTCATTTGAGCTACTCTGATGCTGTTCAGGCGACTACACACCACATATTACACGCGGATCAAAAGGCGTATGTGGGTTACACAAAGTGACAAATTAATTCAACTGTAAATTCTATTTGAATGTATTTCCCCTAATTATGTTACCAACTGAGAGGTGTTGACAACTATTAACCACACTGTAAATGAAGCTAAATAACTCCCTAGTTGTGTTTATTAGTTTTCACTCATAGAGGCCCAGACAACTCCAATGCATGTTTCCTTATGTCAGATCTGCTGACAGTCATATTTCAGACACTCACACACATCCACACACACCCAAACAACAAACACACACACACACGCACGCACGCACGCACGCATGCACGCACACACACACACACACACACACACACACACACACACACACACACACACACACACACACACACACACACACACACACACACACACACACACACACACACACACACACACACACACACACACACACACTATAGAAATCATTGCTTTTCTTAATGAGAAGCCAAGGCCAGCCGAGAACTAACAGGTTTGTTTAAACAGTCCTAATGACCAGTTTGTTCTTGGCCCCAAAGCTGAAGCTCACACATACTTATGAGAAACTCAGGGTATAATTTTCTGTGAATGGATGTTTGTTTTTTAAAACCTGTCTCTGAAAGTGACCAGAAACACATTGCTCACGCGCTGGCAGCTTCTGAGCCGGACAATTGTTGATGGACAACATGGATATGTACACTAACTGACAGATGTATTGGCTGGTTGTTAAAAATCAATTTGATGAGCACATATTTCCCCCTTCTTCTTATTCTTTATTATCACAATGAATACCCTGTTTTTGAAATTCTACCTTTAGGCTCACGGGAGAGATAACCATTTATCCAGAGTAGTGTTTTTCGGCAAACAAACTTTGAGTTTATGCAAGGCCAAAGTTAAAAAAGAATGAACTCAAATTGTCAAAACTGGGCATTGATAGAGTGTTAAATATAAATTAATTGTCCCTTCAAAGGATTTATTTTCCTAAGACCTGTGTTGTTTGAGCATAGCCAGTATGACTGTTAGCAGTGTGGGGGGTTGTTTTTAGGTGGCCCAAATGCTGGCAGTACATTCCAGACGAAATCAATTTTGGCATGTTGGCACAGACAAAATCGAAGGCTTGCAACCAAGAGTTTGCTGTATTTGGATTACGTTGCTGTAGTGGGTGCAGGCAGGCCAGCCAAACCTATTGGAATTTTTGCACAGCCGCAGTCACCTTTTATTAGTTTATGGATTGTTGACATTTTTGTGTAGTGCTTATCAATTTTTAACCTTACAATTATATTATACCATCTGAAGCATAACAAGTTTGGCCAAAATTGTTGTTCATAGCAGAAAATGTATACAGTATAAGAAGTGGAAGTAGTTACCGTGACGCCATTCATTGGTTTATGGCAGGGGAGTCCAAACTACGGCCCGAGGGCCAACTGAGGCCCGTGGCGCATTTTTTATTGGCCTGCAGCAAATTCTAAAAGTATAATGGAATATGTCGCACTTGTACTTGTACTTGTCTTATAATGAACTTATATAACATATATGTAAACATTTATTACACAGTAGTATTCATGTGTTAATAAGCCCAATTTTCAAAAAATGTTAGTCAATTAAAGTTCAGAAAAATGTTAAACAAATCTTAGTTGATAAAAAAAAAGCCCAATAACCTATTTCCATAGCAACCTTGAAATATACCCTTCCTTTTCCCCCTTATTATAAGCAATCTGAGACTCCTATTTTAAGGAATAAGCTGCCAACCCTTTTTGTCACAAAATAAAGGAAACCCTATGGGGAGCTGTGATGTATGCTCTATATATTCAAATAGCAAGCATCATTTAATTGATTTGATTGATTTTGCTAACTTATAACTTAACTTATGAGGCAATATACCTCACCTCTAGTGAAATGTTTTTCTGTATGTGGCCCTTAGTGAAAAAAGTTTGGACACCCCTGGTTTACTGATTACGGTATGCTTGAGCTAGGCACTTTGGCCATTGCCATTTTGGTTGATGGCCATCACTATCCTATTTCTATGGAACCAAAAGTCATTCGAGAAGGTGAAGCTAAGCACAACTGAACGCCAAGAACAAGACATTTTTAGGAGGCCAAAATGTTACAATTATCTTTCCTGAACTGTAAACACACTGAAAGGGTAAAAGTTGTTAGATAAAACCATGTGGAGCACTAAAGCCGAACAACATCATAGTAGTCACCTGTCAATCTCAAATTGGCTTAACCCCAAAGCAAGCGCTGCTATCATCTATTTATTCTGAATGAGACCATTTACTAAATGAACATCATGCTGTATTAAAGAAGACATATAGAGAGATATAGACTGTAATTTTGTCAGGGAATTGTTAAGCAATAGAATACATCAAGTTAGAAGCAGGGTTATTTTCTCATAGACTTCTAGACAATAAGATTTTCTTTTGAAACAAGTGAAGTCACCCCCTGCTGGCTAGCGAGAATGCACGTTTTCAGAAAGTTGGTTAAACCTGAACTGGTTAAAGTTGTGTGGTTTTCCGTGCTTTTGCCTTAGCCAGCGCCATTTATCCAGACAAAGTGAGATGCATTACAGGATATTAGACCCAGTGTCCCATCTTCTCATATTACCTTAATCTACCTGAATGCTGATCCTTCACTGTTTTAATGTTCTGTCCTCAGAGTCTCCTGTGTGTCCATGACGCTGTAGCTCAGAGAACCTTTGAGCCCACTCTGCCACCAATACCTGACACTGTACTGGAAGACGATGAGGATTCTGTCAAGATTGTCAGTCTGGTCAAAACCAAAGACCCCCTGGTCAGTAAACATGTCTTAATATTTCAGAGGTCAAGTTCATATTTGGCTTGAACAAATAGTATAATTTTATGGGCTTTCTTTATGAGAGGTAATGAGAAGTTTGACACAGTTTGCCTCTTATGCATGCAATACTGTATATATGCTATATTTCAGGCAACATGGTAAGGTTACAAACTTTCATGAACTTAAAACACACTGTGAAAGGGTTAAAGTAAAAGATGAAAGAGGTGACAGCACTCATACCTCTGGGTGGTAGCGACTTCAATCCTTTATTTTCTTTTTTCACTCTAAATGGAACGATGATTTACAAAATATCACGTTGTATTGAAGAAGACTTGAATACACCTAATTAATTTACCGAGGTAAATAATCAAATGAGAAGTAGATACATTTTCTCATAGACTTCTATACAACTGGACCACTTTTTGCAACCTATACACCTTGCTGGCAATTAGAGTAAATGCAAGATTACATTTTGGAGCTGTTTTAAGGCTAGGGCTGTTTTCCCAACCTCTATGTACAACTAAGACAATCCTTCTGTGGGCTTTAGCTGCATATTTATAATTTTTGGGTGAGAGTGGTGTCAATCTTCTAATCTAAATCTCGGCAAGAAAGCAGATAGCAATACTTTTATGTGGCTTTTCTTTTTCTTTTTCAGTAGAGCTTAAGAGCCTGTCAGCCTGTTTTGGTCTACCTAGCCTTGGCTTGTAATGTTCACAAACTGAACACAAATGTAAGCATTTAAGTTAAGACAACCATGTGACAGGGCAACTGCGCTTGGACATATCTAATTTGTCCAGCTGCAATATCTGACAAACACAGGCAGGGCAAATAAATAAACATGTCCAGGGGACAGCTGAAGTTTTTTCTCTGTTGACTGAATTGATGTGTTGTCAAACTGCGTGACTGCTAAAGCCCTGCAGCCTATGCCAAGGTGTAGCAGGAATACAGCCCTTGGAACGACAGGAAACACACGAGTAGATTCCTGCAGCTGCCATGAATTTGCAGTCAATTCTTCCACATCTTTTTCGCCATATATCTGCTGTGACGCACAACGTAGTTTCTGTATTGTTTGGGTGCATATTGAATCATGTGTATATGTTTATCCACTGATCAATTATGTCATTTAAATGAGTCCTTTAAGGCCGTATTAAAATTGATTGGGATAATTTGTTTTATGTTTCTGCTGTAAAACAAGTAGTTTTTATGATCTTTAATCATAGCAAATTTGTCTTGATACTACCGGAATGATCTGTCGGTACCACTTTCTTCCAAGCCATTGTCACTTATTTCTGGACATTTCCTGGATTAAATAAATTGAGTACAATGTGTGCATACTTTCGCCAAGGCCGCAAAATCCTATTTTATTGATAAAATACATTTCAACTTTTTTTTTTGATCGAGATCTCCATAAACTCACATGGGGACAGACAACTTGGGCTTACATGTGCCTTATTTTCTCCCCCACTAAAGTGGATCCTGTTGCTCATTAAAATTACACAGAAATGTTTCAAGATTCAAAGGTAAAATTCCTTTAACGAAATAATCCTGAATCCACATCGAAAACATGTGTGTCTTAGCCTGTGGCCTGAGAAGTTTCCTTAGAATATGTCTTTGATACGTTTTTGAAGGCAAACAGAACCAAAAACATATCGAGATAAAAAGGCTCATCTTAAGGGTAAATATATGACAATAATTGACTTAATGATGAACATTTCTTGCAGTGTGTATGCTTGTATGTTTGAGCTTTGACAGTGGAATGTTTTTCAGACCAATAATAGAGAACATACTTTTGTATTGATCCCAAAACTAGATTGGAAAGGGGATTGACCTTTTTATGACACGGCCTCTTTGATCGATCCAGCATGTTCCAGTTTTCCAGACAACAGGGTTACACCCGAGCGTGAGCTGATTGTACTTAGCTATAAGATGCTCTTTCCATTGTGATTCACTCCACATCAATAACATCTGTTGAAAACAAAATCTGATTTGGATAACAGTTTTCCAGTGCTCTGTGTGTAACATGAAGGCAGTCAGCTTAATAGTCCCGTCTTGAAACAAGTAACCTTCATTCGAATGAAGCGACTCCAAATGAGAAGCTTGTCTGGACTGTAATAAAACCAACATGTTATTTTCACCGTCCATTGCTTGACCTCTTTGCCTGTGCTCTTCTGTTTGTCCATCAATCATCCTTTCATTCACTAATCCCCATCCTCAAGGGTGCAACAATTAAAATGGATAAATCCACAGGGACGATTGTTGTGGCGAGGATCATGAGAGGAGGTGCAGCTGATAAAAGCGGTAAGCTAAATAACTATTCTTTACTACAGTTTCACCAATATACTCTCACACTACCTTTATATTAGGTTGTGGTTAAATAACATGTACGAGAGGAGCATGTGGTAATTTCCATATGTATTTCCAACACTTGGAAGGCCTGATCCATGAAGGAGATGAGCTGAAAGAGGTGAATGGAGTCTCACTGGAACACAGGAAGCCAAAGGAAATCCTTTCTCTTCTGGTTAGTCTCACCTTCGTGCCTTGGTTTTATACATCTCTTTGTTAAGTGTTTCTGTTTCCTTCTCTCCTTTTGCTCTCAACCTTATCTCTCTTCCTTTAAATGTGTGAACTCAAAGGATAATGCTGACACTGTCAACAAAATCGATTAAAAGACAAAAACCAACAGAGCTTCAGTCTTTCTGTAAATAACGTTAAACTGTTTTACCATATCTGTATCCCTCTTAACTCTAGCACAATTTTTTCAAATAAAATGATAGAACCTTAAATCACAAGTGTACAAATATATAATGTTTCCTAAAGGATGTCAGTAATTTCATAAAACAGCACCAAACGTTAGCAAATGTTACTCAAACAGGAGTAAAGAGTACATTTTGTTCAGGACTACTTCCTGCTGCGGATGAATCCACGTTTGGCGAACTTACTTATAGTATGTAGGCCTAGATTGTTGTATGGCCATGTTCTTTATTGTGTGTTCCATAGTTCTGCATTTGGCTCGACCTACTTCCAGTCTTTATATATTTTGCTAGGCTAAGCTAATTAGCTTCTGGGTTTTAAGCTTTTTAGCGATTTGTATTCGTCTTCTAATCTAACTTGGCCCAAAGCAAATAAGAATTCCTTAAAATGTATAACCACCTCTTCTTCTCGTGCAGGCTCGATCTCAAGGTGAAGTTAGATTCACAATCATTCCTGCCTCCACAAGGGAAGAAATGTCATCAAATAAAAAGGTACAATACACATTCAAACACATATTACCATGCAGTGTGTTTTTTACGTTAGTTTAACATGCAATCTGGCTGCATGAGGAAAGCAGCCCCAGCTGGTTTCAGTAAAAAGAGATTAAATCAGTGGTATCTTGTGTGTTTGCTTATATTGAGTGTTTTTGCCATGGTGCTGTCACTACAGCAGCGCACTGTCAAGAACTCAATTCAGATCAGACAGTCAAGTATAAGACCATTACTAATTTTATAACAATTTCCTGCTTTTTATAATTTAAGCACTTGATTTATGATTTTCCACACATCACATATGTAGAGCCACATCAACTTCATTTATCATTAATGATAAATCTACACACCGTATGCGGAAAAAATTGCAAATCCTTTTATGTGTTGGAATAGTTCTAGGCCACTACTACCAAATACATGATATCCAACCTGGAACCTGTTAGAGCAGGGAGCATTTGCTCTGGATTAAGATAAATTATTTTCTATGATCATGGTAATATTTCAAAAATGACACCAACTTATGTTACAAAGCACCAGACATAGTTGTTGTGCCGATTGCTAGGATACAGAAGTTCATAGGGTTGCAGTAGGAAAAGATAAGAATGAATATATCGATTACGCGGCAACCTGTTTTGTTTAAAAGAAAATAATATTTTCTTTCCTCAGCTGTTTATGCAGGCTCTTTTCGACTATGATCCCAATGAGGATCCCACCGTTCCGTGCAAAGAAGCAGCAGTAGCCTTTAGAAAGGGCGACGTCCTCCAGATAGTCAGCATGGAGGATGACACCTGGTGGCAGGCCCGTCACCTTGGGGACAGCAACGATCGGGCAGGACTCATCCCCTCGCAGCAGCTCCATGAGAGGTCATAATTTGATCTTTTTTATACTGTGGCTGACAGGTGCAAACTACAACGGCCAAACACACACAATAAATGAAACACTGCAGATAAAAAAACACTGCAAGAATCGCAAAACACAACAGAAACCAGGGGACACTAAAAATGGATGCACACAGCTGGGACCTGAGCGATTACGTTCAGTGGGTATAAAGTTGGCCAACTGTCTCTGTTGGAACAGTTGGCTGCTTCAAGTGTTTTGTCAGTATACTTGAAATGACTAGGTTAGCTAAGTTAGCTAGCTAGTTTACAGCAGATTTGCAATCACATTGTTAAAATAAGCCAATAAAACTTACATTTTAGGTAAATTTCCAGTGACAGTGATTGCTGGCCAACTTTATAATCCCATAACGTCAACACGTGTGCTCCTTTCCCAGGTGTGTGCATCACTTTTTAGTGTCCCCTTGTTCCTGCTGTCTTTTGAGCTTCTTGCAGCTATTTTGCTAATGCAGCACTTTTTTTTTCTTCAAGTTGGTGAATGTTTTATAAATGCTGTGCATGTGTTGTCAAATTGGTTAAGATGTTTCTTCATTTGTTTTGGCACATTCCTGTTATTGATTTGCATCGTTTTAGAAACTGCAGCGCTTTTCTTCGAACGGAAATGTGTTGGGCCGTTGTAACGTGTTTGCACCTGACCTGTGGACCACAGTATTTTTAGTCTATAGAAACACATTTACCCTCTTAAACCACTGTCATCTAACATCTATCTTAAATTCTGTTTTGATACACCCTTGTTTCCTTCGTCTTTGTACAGGAGAGTTGCACTACAGCGACCTAAAGCGCTGTTCAAGCCCCGACCAGTCAAACCACCAGGTGATGAGTTTGTCAATAAAATCAACCACACCTGAAAATAATAAAAACTTTTAACACTTTCTAATAAACATATTAAAGCTGCTTTGGCGCTAAGCTAAGAGGTGACAGGTCATGTCTGAAGATCCAGTCAAGGTCACGGCTGAACTCTGCTGCCCTCCCGTTGTACTCACTGCTTTTGTTTTCTCCACATGCTCCACAGATGTGGCGGAAGGTACTGTCTGTTCGAATTTGCTTTTGAAAATGTACCTCGAGAACAATTAACTTGATGTAATACACGTGTATATTTTAGGTTTTGGGTTTTTAAAGATTTAAAGAGGTGGTTATCCAAAAATAATATCATGTAATGCTTCTTGGAAGTACGGCGCGGAAAGGATTCTGTTATTTGTTTCCTCCAAACTGGTTTATCTGACCCTCTGCATTGTGCTAGTTTTTCGCTAACAACCAATTTGTAAGAGCGAGGTAGTTATTAATATTTTCTAAATTGTAGATATAATTTCTAAATGAAACTATTATTAGAATTCCCAAAGCAAAAATATTAGGACATATTGGTCAGAACATATGTTAATGCTTTAAAAGTGAAATTTCAGAAGGACGCACGTGTCATGTCTTGTGGTTTGTGTTCATGGTTTTCTCTCTCTATCCTCTTCTCTCTTCCTGTTTTTCCAGTCATGGATGACGTAGACTACGGAGCTATAACAGGGATCCACATTGGTGAGATGTTTGATTTGTTCCAAGTGAAAATGAACTAATGTGATACAAGACACTCAGGGCAATTGGACTTGAAGCAATAAAATAAATTGAGAAAAAACAGCAACAAAAGGAGACCAGGCTTATATTTAAATTACAAACCAGTTTATATGATGATGTAGTTTTGTGGGTTTGGGGATTTAGGGTTTTAGCTGTCCCATTTATCCCATTTGTCTTGATCTCATGGATTGCGTGTGTGCATATGTTGGATGCTCATATGGGGGTGTGCACTTACGGCTGATTGTAAAAAGGTTCCAAGCGTCTGTACGAGAAAGCTAATTACAGATGTTGCGTTATATCAGTTCAAAAAGTCATGTGCATTTGATAATGCGCATTTCATCTTATCTCAGGCCAGCTTCCACCTGATGACGTGGTTCAGAGTCTGTGTTTCCTCTTTGTCTGGCATGTAAAATGTTATCGATGCGGCACAACCTGACTGAATGCAGAAGAATCTGAGCAGAGAGGGCTTAACAACAAGGCAAATTGTGGGGTTTGTTTACAATAAAAGTCATGGTTATGGGGCGAAACAGGCTAACAGCTTGTCCCCGGGTTAGTTTATTTCTTAAAGATTTGGTTCTGTGTCGGTCTTAGAACTGTTTGAAATGAGACGAGAAGATTGATACCGCACACATGTCTGTCTGTTGAATATTATGCTTAAAGTGGACCTATTATGCTATATTGGAAAAATATATTGTAGGGCCATACCTATACAAAACATGTCTGTGAAGTGTTTTGCTTAAAATACCAAACAGATCACCCATTGTAGCCATCCCTCATACTGCTCATACCCCTCTTTTGCAGCCCTGTTAGAGAAACGCGGATTTTGGGTCCTTAGCTTTAAAAAAAGAAAAAGAGGAGGCGGAGCTAATGCCTGATCAGAATTCTACCGGAGATAAAGTTAAATTCTGCTGTGATAAAACGCCATCCTGTTCTAAACCACATCAAAGATTATTTCTGAAACAGTATGGAGCTCAAATGTTTTTTCTCTTGCGGGTTTATCACAAGGTGAGTTCCTTTTTTTATTTCCTGCTTTTTAAACACATGTGCTCTACACAGTACAGGTTAGCTCTGAGTGTTAGCGAGGCTTGCTAATGTAAACAAAGACCAGATTACGTCCAAAACACGTCAGGCATTGTTTCTGATAGCAATTTTCTGTGGGTCCGCTGCCGATTTGACGTCAGATCGGCAGCAAATCTGTATCCGCTCGTTGTACCCCTGTTTTTAAAAGATTTGGGTACGGAGGAAAAGAGAGAGGGTTTTATTTTCTGACGCTGCGTGAGTTCCCCGACGCACCGGGGACACATATTTATGTATAAAATACATCACAAAGTGCATTTTGCATGATAGGGCCCCTTAGCTAGCCAGTTAGCTTAGCTTAGCATAAAGACTGTAGCCCCATTAGCCATGTATTTGTGATACGGCAAAAACAAATGTATGATCAGGAGAAAATTACATTTCCTTTTAAAATTAATTTACAATAAAGTTTTGTTGGAGACCAGACTGGAACAATATTTAAGTCAGTAAAATCTTTGTTTACATATCCAATAATTTGTTGTTGAGGTCTTATTTTGTCCAATCATATTTAAGGGATTTGATTAATAAACATAACTTTATTTAGTCCATTTGCTTCTACTTGTATACGTAATTGAAATTAAGGTAGCCAAAGTGAAAAAGTTAAGATACTTTTGGAAACAACTTTATTGTGTGGTCAGAAAACAAAACCCTCTCTCTATTCCTCCGTACCCAAATCTCTAAAAACGGGGGTACAACGGAGCTGATCCAGATTTGCATCCGATATGACGTAATATCAGAAATGTGGGCTGGCTTTACACCCACGGCCCTATCAGAAACGTCGCTATCAGAAACAATGCCCGACTGTTTTGGACGTAATATGGTCTTTGTTTACATTAGCAAGCATCGCTTACACTCAGAGCTAACCTGTACTGGAGAGAGTATGTGTAAAAAAGCAGGAAATAAAAAAAGGAACTCGCCTTGTGAGAGAAAAAGCATTTGAGCTCCATGCTGTTTCAGAAATAATCCTTGATGTGGTTTTGAACATGATATGGCGTTTCATCATGGCAGCTTTTTTTTAAAGCTCAGGACCCAAAATCAGCACTTCTCTAACAGGGCTAACACAGAGGGGTATGAGGCATGGCTAGAATGCATGATCTGTTTGGTATTTTGAGCAAAACACATCATACTGTAGACATGTTTTTTATATATCTGAAACCCATAATATATGCCTAAAAATAGCATGATATGAAACCTTTAAGGTCGGGTCCTAGAATAACCCGTGCAGCTTCATATTTTGCGTCACTCATAAATATAGTATGTCCCGTTATATAAGCGAACTTCGATAAAGCTATCTTCCGTATCAAAGTGACTTTGGACTGAGTGACCTTCTTGTATAATTATTTTACATTTTGGGAAATATGCCTATCTGCTTTCTTGCCATGTTTTTTTGTTTTGTTTAGTTCTTATGGTAGGACTGACGTATTCAGTACCACTAAAAATGGACTCAATGGTCTTGGACGCCAATCCTTCATACTGAGAGTATATGTCCACTCTATTGGACTGCAGGTTGAGGCTCATATCATATCATCTTGACATAGAGGGCTCAGGCCCAGTTCATGACATGCATCGCATGTATTGAATCTCCCCACAGTTTTATCTGACCCTTATTTCATATTTTAAAATGTATCTTACAGCATTTCCAAAAATGTCCTACAGTTTTACAGCTGAGAGCATTTTCAGTGACACATGATGAACTTCACTGCCAGTTTTCCTTAAGATTGACAATTACGATATGCTTTCTTATAGACCTTGTTTCATGCTATAGGCTTTCTCATTTGTTGTATGACATACGTTTTAGACAGTGTGTATTACACTGACATTTCTCAGTGAATTCATCAGTTTCAATCCCATGTAAACAAAAGTTTGAAATCTCTACTAATTGTGCCATGTTTCTTAGAATGAAGCCCAGAGAGCGAACGGACAGATATGCTTACAAAGAGAAATTACAGCTGACGTCAAAGCAAGCCTGGCAGCACCACTTAGCAGCAGTTAACATTATGAAAAAGAGAAGGCCTGCCAAGCCAGCCAGACCACAGTCGCATGGCAGACGCTGGCTGTCAGAGAGCCTACAAGTGACGCGTGACAGACGGAGTTGTCGTCTGTTGACTGCAGGGTTAGGGCTTTTCAGGATGGTGCTTTACAGAAGAGTTTGGGTGGCAGTGTTGTGTTAGTGTTGAACACTTTTATTGATTCACTGTACCTGCATATGTAAATTAGTAGGGGATTCACCTCAGTAACTTTATATTAATTCCAGACATTGTTTTGTACTGCAGTCACGAAGCCCCAAAAGAAAATCAATGAAAATGGTTTCAGGGCAATTTCAATGAGGCAATTTTCAGCTAGGTTTTCAATGATACGCCTGGCAGGTCTGAGATCCATATCTCTTTTTTCCAGCTGGGTTGAGAAGAAGTTTCCGACTCGGAAGAAAGAGCAGTTGGGCCAGAGAAGCGGCTCGGTCCAGGAGTTGGAGCACAGGGGCTCACAGCTCAGTTCGACCCCCTACCTACAAACAGGTGACCCCCTACCACAGAGACCCCAAGGACCCACACCGTCTGGTTGTTCTGGTTGGTACGTATGAGGTTAACATACGGTTGCGCAAAGAAACAGGAAAATTCCCATCTTTTGTGGAGATGTTTAAGAGCACACTGCCAACATCTCGTTAAATAGGTTACTGTGCTATAGTCTAATGCAGTGGTTCTCAAATGGGGGTACGCAGCCCCCTAGGGGTACGTTGGAGTACTGCAGGGGGTACGTGAAATTAATTTTATGTTAATGGAAAACAACATAAGTAATGCATTTAAACAAACTACTAATAGTAGATTAACTACTTTATTCAAAAGTTACAGTAATTCTGCCGAGACGCTTCTGGGACGCTTCTGAGCCGTAACGCGGCGCGTCTGGTGGAATAGCACCCATTGACTAGAGTGGCCGCGATACTTGCGAATGCCGCGGCGCAGCCGTAACGCGGCCGTAACGCGGCCGTAACGCGACGCAGACGGACCCGCTGGGCTCCGCTCAAAATAGGATTCAAGTCTATTTTTCGACGCGAGGCGTTGCAGAGGCACCGGGCAGGAAGTGGACCAGTCAGAGCATCCGGCCCATCCCCAAAATAAACTAATTTTGCAGACCCTATCCCTCCGTAGTCTTTCAAGTATAGGAGGAGATATGCCAGCGTTCTCCTCCGGTTTACAGGCACTGTGTAAATTATATAGAATAATTACGATGATGAATGCATTTTTTTACCACTAAAATACAGCAACAGCAACACATATTTGATTCATGTCGTTTATAACTGGAATATTACAATTATTATTAACTTTGTCTGTACAAAGTAGCCTGTCCAGGAAATATGCCCAAATCAACAAAAACTGCGAGCCGGCAGGCAAGACGCTCCGCTTCTGAAATGCTTCTGAAATGCTTCTGAAACGCGCCCGGTAGGGTATGACGCCGGAGGAGGCCGGACCAAAACCGCGGCGCAGCCGTGACGCGACGCAGACGGACCCGGTGGAATCGAGGGGTTAGTGTATTTTGCTCCGCTCAACGGTCCGTCACAGCGGCGGAGCTGTGATCCGGAAGAGCTGCGTGTTCTCCGTCAGCAGCAGCTGATCTGATCTCTGATCACTCTCTCGCGTCCGGTTATACTTCACTCACGTTTATGTCCAAATCTATCAGATCTAGCTAGTTCTAGTTAATGATATGACTGCCTGCTTATCAAAGGACCTAAACAATAAGCGTTGCTTGGCAATGGCGTGTGGCTGCAAAGTATAGCGCAGCATTATGCATATATATATGAGGGGTCAAAATCCCATGCTCATAAAATGCTCATATATTTTTTTCTCTTCATTCCCATAGCCCCAAAATAAATAAATAAATAAATATACCAATTTTAGGAAAAGTAACACAGTTTGAGCAGTGTGGGTTTTATATTAACAGAGTTACACATATTTCAAAACGCCAAGTGTAATAACTGCAGTTTGCCTTCCTGTCACCGAGAATGACAAAGATCCTGAGTGAAGCACAAGCCCATGTTTCTCACTAAATTGTAAGTACAACTTATTAAAAACATCAGTTCAATGCAACTAATGTCGTCTTAGTGTTATTGCATGATGTTAAAATTGGTTTGCCATGAATTTGGCTTGTAAACATTTGAAATGTAGCATTTAAGTGTTTCTCAGTTACAAGGTTGTTGTTTTAATAAATCGGACACTGATGGTGCAAGGCTGTACCTCTTTATATAGGCATTTTTTCCCTAACAAATTGTTTAAGGGGGTACATTATTGCAAAAGTTTAAGAACCACTGGTCTAATGTAGTACATTGTGTTCATAACATTTCATATTGATTTAATATATAGCACAAAATGGTAGTTACTGTGGTTTTATGTGCAATAGTTTTTTGTTTTATATCATCCCCAGCCTTCTTTTGTCCATATAAAAAACAACATGATCCCATTCACTAAAAGAACACTATTATTTATATTGTAGCAGTTGTTGATCAAAAGAAAAAGTAATGCCCTGATGAAGATTTATTTCCCGACTCTTGAGTGCAAGAATAATCCTTTCCCGTCATAAGCACGTAAACACTGTCAGAGAACTCAAGTCAGAATATATTTTGTTCTCTTAAATTACCAAGTGGCCCACCCCAGACTCACTTCCCTGCCAACCTTGCCGGTCTGCTCTATGTATTTCTGAGCTATATCTCTCCCGCGGGAATTTCACATTGAGCCCCGCTGAAGGTCTTTTTAATGTCGTATTATGATACGACTGTAGGTTGTCTGTGACCGAGGGAAGTCAAAAAAAGAAGAGAAGGGCAGAAGAGGGACAGAAAATCGAAAGTGGAGGGCAGAAAGAAGCGAAACAAAGTGAATTAAAGAGGCGAAAAAACATTAACCAGATATAGTAGATTAATGATAGTAAATGGAGAGAAGGGGATGAGTGGATTGTGAATTATATTCCTCATAATGTCAGCCAAGTGCTCCATCATTAAACTGGAACAGTTAAAACAGCTTGGATTTAGATTTAGACCTCTTTAATTGAGTTGGAGTTTACCCTAACTCTGGATTACGTTTTACTGTCTGCTGTGAAGGCTCTTTGCTGACCGGAGTTCATCATTAGCAATATATAGCTTATTGGCAATGAGATTTATGGACAGGAATACCAGAACCTGGATGGCTAAAACAGCACCAGATGGATACTGTTTGACCAGGTTGGAAATATTTTGTTTGCATTGCATACGCACTTTGAATGGAACAATAGCCATAGGAAAGTTGGTGAAAGCGACTGCCAGCCGATTTAAGCTCTACAGATCGTGTAACTCTTGAAAAAACAAAGGTCAGGAGAAAGTATCCACAGTGCCCGATGATGCTCCTCTCCAGCTCGGTGGAGCAGCTGTGGAAGACATCAGTGGTGTAAGAGTGGAGAGTCCATAAACCTGATATTTTGTATCGAGCTCATGCAACCCTGTGATGGAAAAGGCAGGTATGTCAGGAATCTTACTTTCAGACGGCGCTCCATTAGAGTCTGATGCAATCTGGGGGCTGTGAAAAGCTGCTGTAGAAAAGAAAATCCCAGATGCTACAGTATGTGTGTGTACAGTTGTGTGTATGTGCTTTATCCTGTGCATCCTACACTTTAATGACACCGATACTGTGTGGCTTTGCAGATGTCACGTTTAGACGGGATGCTATGGATTTTCCAGAGGGCTTCGGAGCAGTTAATGTTCAATAGAGAGACACCGGCAAAGAAAGAGACGGAGAACCGTTTTCAGACTGAAATCAGTATGAAATCAGAGCTCTGTCTGTCTGACTCTCTCCCGCTCCCCTTTGTCGTTCTCTGATTGTAAAGACAGATGTGTCACCAGATCACTAAGCCTATTTGATGTTGTAAGGCAAACAATAGTACATAGTGATTTTGGGAATGAATACCTATATACAGAACACAGTGTTTTTATCTCCGTCTCCAGGGCCCAGCGGCGTTGGCGTTAATGAACTGAAGAGGAGGCTCCTGCTCTCAGACCCTGACCACTATGGCGTGACTGTACCGCGTAAGATAGACTTCCAGAAATGTCACCTTTACCTCCCGCGCACTAAATGGTTTCTCATCCTTAACAGCTGCCTCTCGTCTCTTTTCTTTCAGACACCACACGTGAGAAGAAAAGGCAGGAGAATGAAGGGGTGGATTATAATTTTGTGTCAATATCCATGTTTGAAGAGGATATTCTCAATCAAAGGTACATGAGCAGGTGTTTCCTTTCCCATGGTTCTAAAAATGGTCCCCTTTCATGAGAGTGATGTTCATTTCTACTGCTGTCTGATTACATTTTATGATGTTTTCTCTGTCTGTTCACGGACTGCTTGGTTCTGTTTCTAGGTTTGTAGAATATGGAAGATACAGTGGACACTACTATGGAACAAGTGTAGATTCTGTGCACAAAGTGATGGCTGAGGGCAAGGTGTGCCTTCTGTGTGTGCACCCTACTGTAAGTACTAAGCCATTTACAAATTGTTCATGTTTACAGAAATTCATTTGGACAATTTTCAAAGGAGTAGGAAGTTTTTTGCCAAATAATCCACATCTTCGATGGTAAATCACACCACAATTGTGCTGAAAAGGTTAATTGCGACAATTGCCCTTTCAGTTATAAACCTAGTCTTTCAACATCTTTCAACTTCATGTTTGAACTAATAAAATAACGTTTCCAATAGCCCATGTGTGTTTCCCACAGGGTTTAGTTCTTGGCAATCTAGAAACCAATTGGCTAGGTGATGACAATAATGGCGCGTTTCCACTACACGGCCCCGCTCGGCCCCGCTCGGTATGGCTGGGCCTCGTTAGGACTGGCTCACTTTATGGCGCATTTCCATTACAGTTTAGGAACTGGGGCAGTATCTATAGTAACGCAGTGTAGGCGGAGCCGTGACGTGATCTTCAGAGAACCCCAGAAAAAACAACACAGCCGTTAGCTGTTAGCACTCAGAGCTCACAGCTCCTCATATATGTTCAGAAACTAGACAAAAGTTAAACAAGTACAAACCACAGACTGCCTGTGTCATGGTGAATACAGTCGCTGCTTTATTTATGTCTGTATAGGCCGTTGTTGTGAGTGTGGACGGTCGGAGCATATACTGCGTTAGCTTAGCCAATCTCCATTTAGAAAACAAGCATTTTAAAAGGTTTTTCGCCTGCCGTCTGTCTGCAAACTTGACAAAGCATTAATTCATGGTTTTTACTAACCGGTATCAGTATGTTGTTACTTCGGCATCATTTTGAAACGTGTATTACAATTAAATCACGGTCAAAGATGTCCATCTTGTTGTAGTTGTAGCCCCCTTGCAAGCGATGCTCTCTCTAGTTTAGCATACTCAGCCCGACTCAGCCTCGTTGTCTCTGGCCCTAGAACCACGATTTTATGAGGCCAGAAAAACTGTGAATTAGGACCCGCCGGCCGGTACTAGGCCAAGTGGAAACGCAACCAAAGACGGGCCGCTGACGTCACAGCCCTCTTAAACCGGGCTGCGCGCTGTAGTGGAAACGCGCCATAAGCCTCTAGGGGGCAAGGGGCTATATTATGTTGGGGTTTTGGTGTACCATTCAGCCAAAGCTTCCTCTCTCATGTCTACAGTTAGCAACTTGAGACTCAAGAATGAAGTTGGAGTTGCGAGACTGTGTCCCGTTTACAATCTAACAAAGAGCTATTGTCAGCTGATAACCATTCGATCCAAGATTTCACAATGTTTTGCTTTAACCCTCCTGTTGTGTTCGGGTCAAATCTGACCGATTTACTACTTTCATCAATCATAACTGTTTTGTTTTACATTCAATTGCATTAAGGCTTTATGATATCCTTCACAGTAGACATTTGAACATATACAATTGCTGATCACCACTTTCGTTGAATTTTAGATGATTTAGTCCCGGTCAAAGATTACCGCCATAAAGAAAAGGAATTAGTAACCATCCGGATCAGATAAAACACACACACACACACACACACACACACACACACACACACACACACACACACACACACACACACACACACACACACACACACACACACACACACACACACACACACACACACACACACACACACACACATACTCTAGATGTGTGTGTCCCCTTATGTGCCCAATCCCCCCATGTGAATCACACCTGGCACACACAGAACAATTTGACACATTTCCCGCTCTTATGTGCCCATCCCCCCACATGGATCACACCTGGCACACGCAATACATGTTCAGTGTCTGTTCTTTGTATATTTACTGCAGTTTTTCATGTATACCAGTAGTCTGATACAATATTTACAGTTTGAAAGTGTGTTAAATGAAATGTGGTGATGATTAATGGTTTTTGTGTTAATGTAATAGCAGTTAAAACAGGACCGGTCAAATTTGACCGCGAACACCAAAGTAAGGGGGGGGAAACGAAGACAATAGGAGGGTTAAACACAGAAAGTTAACCTGCATTCAGAAAAAGTCTGGTAAAATGTGATGGGCATTATTATTCAGACTACTAACAAAAACAAGATCGCTTTGATACCAAAATCTTGTCTTGTTGCCCCCAGATACTGTATTCTTCATTCATACAGATCTATTAATAAAGATTAAATATTTGGAAGGGGTGGGAAGCCAGTATGGGATCAAATGCTATGGGTTCTTTTGAAACAAGAAGGAACTTGTTACTTCATCAGAGGAATCATATAGTGCATTTAACTAGACCTACCCAAACAGTGGGAACAGTTATGAGTGCTTTGGTACCGTTTGGTACACAATAACTGTCCATGTGTGGAAATTTGAAGGAAAGAAAGGTTTTTTTTTACTGTAGGTTTGTAATCTGCTACACATCATTGCCTGTTTGGCATTTATGGTCTGGAAAGTGATCCCTTAACAATGAAATGTAACCGTATTTTTTTAATGTGTGGAAATTGTTTAGATCACCAACTACTTCTGCCTTCTTTTTGGTCTTCCTCACCATAGAAAATAAAGCAAGTGTACAATTCGGAATTCAAACCATACGTGGTGTTCGTGAAACCTCCGTGTATCGAGGAACTACACCTCACCAGACGGAGAGTGAAGTTTGTCTGCGATGAAGTCGACAAGAACTCAGTCAGGGTCTTTTCGGTAAGAGAACAAAAACAGAAACACACATATACATTTTTGAAAACGGGTGCTTGTTCCATGTCTTGTAACATGCGAGGCGGTGTGAGGTTAAACAGTCTGGCCTTGATTGACCCACCCAACCCCAAAGACATGCACACACCCAAACCCCCCCTAACTCTTGCGCACACCTTGCCGTACATATGGTTGACCCCTTGGTTTGCTTTTAAGAGACGTTTAATAGATAGGTGGAGTTACAAGCCTGCTTGGTGGGTGGCTTCTTGTTCCCTTACTAAGGTGAGTACAGTTTGTCCAGGATAATAAAGGGTCACATCTTGTGTTGGTTTACATGACTTGTGTCAAAGCATGAGTACATATGTGTGATGAAGCGTGTTTTGGCCAAGACAAAAAAAGATTTTCTGTCACTTTGGTAATCTACATCTGGCTTCTCCTTCACTCTTTGACCCTGGCTGCCCATGGTGCCCTTATTAAACCCATGAGGTCACACACCTGTGTTGCAACATGGCTGGAGTTTGCCCTGTGCCACCACAGTCTTCAGAGGGTTCAGGCATTTCTTATTGCGTTCAACTTGTACCACAGCTGGTGTGAAAAGGTCTCTTATCCTTTACTCCCAGCATGTAACGACGTGTTACGCCTTGGTCTGTATAGCTGAATGGTCACAGGGATCCGTTCCATGTCCTGTTAGGTTACAGTATGTGCAGATTATTGTAAAAACAACCTCTCGGAGAACGTCACCATATGGTCAGGCTTTCGCTGTTCTGTTTCCATCAACAGTATTTCTCAGATGAACATTGAAATCATCATTAATCATCTATTGCTGTTTTTTTCCTTCTGCACAGATTCTTTTCATCTTTCACTCGATGATTAATTAAAGAACACACAAGTAAAGCTTTGGAAAGAACAGATTATATGTAATATATACCAAGTCATTTGTTTCCAAGTCACAATAAGTCTCTAGTCTTTGAACTCAAGTCCTTAGTCAAGACAGTAAATTCAAGTCCCAAGTTTAAAATAACAAGTCCCAAGTCAATTCGGAAGTTCTAAACTTTGAGTATTCAAATTGTAAACATTTTTTTTTTATCCATTGTCCTTTCTTATTTCTTGTTTGGATGACGTTAGATTGTTTCAAACAAAGTATATCTTGGAAATTGAATGTCGACTTGCTTGAGTGTTCGAACATTAGTAGATCCAGGAAATAATGGGAAATCAGGTATGGATCCGTGGAACACTTTTTAAAGCACTCTATCTTCGGGCTTTGAGTAGGAAACAAGTAGTTTCAAGTTAAACATTCTCAAGTCCAAATGAAACCACAAGTGTTGAAGTCGGAGTCCAAGTAACGTTTTTTGTCTTTTTTGTGTTCAGTCATCAAATTGATGATTCAAGTCTGATTTGAGCCCAAACCACTGTACCTCATGTTGCTACATTTTATTTACCAAGGCGTTCTCTTGCCACAGGAGGAGGATTTTGAGGACATGATTACCTTGGCTGAAACCATGGAGAAGCAGTACGGACACTTGATTGACAAGGTGATTGTTAATGGAGATATCGTGGTGGCGTTCAGAGAGCTGAAGGCGGACCTCGAGAAGGTACAAAAGGCAGAAGTCCACTGGGTTCCTGCAGAGTGGAATTGCTCGTCATCACCAACGAAAGCACGCAAAAGTTGCGGTCATCTGGACAGCTGGATTTGAACTCTGAACTCACAAGAAGAAAAGAACCCCAAAAAGAATGTATTAGTTCTATTTAGTTAGAATTCAATACCATGAAAATCGAAAATGTCCGTTTGTAAACAAATCCTGTGATTACCATCATTTCCCAAAGTGTCCCTTAGTGTATCTCTAATTAGGCAAACAGAATCCATCTCTTCCTCCGTCTGTTTGAGAGACAGTTTTTCTGTTGGCATTTGGCTTAATGGCTCACAGGGCCGAGAAGTAGAGGAAAGAACGAAAAAATAAGGAAACTCTCCAGAGCTTGTGGCTAAGTGTAATCCTTCCCTGCCAAGTTGCAAACATCAGCATGTAATTATTCTGACAGCTGCTGCACTTCAATTAACTGTAATGTACACCAGAGAAATATTATTAGTAGCAGTCGGGCAGGCATTGTGCCAACAACATGCTATACGAAATCGAGACATAAACAAGAAAGGAGTTAAATAAAGAATGACCAAGAAGTAAAACATGTTTTAATGGCTATAAGTTTAATAATTTTGTATATATTGAAGGATTATAAATGCTTTGTGTATGTCTCACAATTATTGTACCACTGTAGAAACATGGTTAAGTGTTTGTATTTTTAAGCGCCCTACGCAAAAAATATACTCTATTATGGACCATTAACTGTAGCAATGTCATTTTTTATACACAAAGATATCGAGAAAATAAAGAATATTGGCAGAGAGCCACCATTAGTGACACCCCATTAACAAATACTCATATTTGAGCATCACAGCTGCCTTTCGGGTGCAGATTCTACTGTTCTCCTGCACACAAGCTGCTTAATCTTGTTCTGTTTAATGGCCACATTCCTCTACATTCATGGTGTTTCCTTCCCCTTTTTGAATGCTGTGCTCAATTGGGTGTGAAGGAGTGTTAATGTGTCTATCATGTCGTGTTTTGGAGGAAGAGGGAGCAGCATGATGTAGGGAGACGGTAATAGCTTTCTCGGGACTTGGTTCTTAGCAGACGTTCAGAGAAAAAGTTACGAGGGCACATAAAAGCTTACTGTAAAAGCATGGTGAGGCTGCAAGCTGACTAGGCTGCAGGGAACACAACATTTTGTCTCAGGTTTTTTATTTTACCCTGGCATGCTGTGTCAGAGTCCCAAATAGATGCGTAGAGATGCACTCAATAGTATGTCTTCATGACTCCTGGTTACCAAAGCGCACATACGAGACTAAACAGTTGCACTTCTGCAAGGCCTGAATCTGACCTGTGCCAAACCATGGCAGTATAACTTCATCACACCACTGAGAATCTGCAGGCACCCTCTGAGATCATAACCATGCCATTTAAGACACCGGAGTGATCCAATGAAAACCCACTGCCGCCTTATGTTCACTGCAGCTCCCACACACTACACAGGCGTATGATGTCAACTGGTCTCGGATAATTTGGTTCAATCATCTATCTGTCGGAGGTATGTAAAAATAAATATGACTGATGTTAAACAATATCTTCATCTTTGCATGAAATATCCATAACTTAAAACACGGTAAAGCACATGCTAGAGCAGTGATTCTCAAATGGGGGTACGCGGACCCCTAGGGGTACGTTGGGGTACTGCAGGGGGTACGTGAGATAAAAAAGGAAAGGTTAATAAAAAAAAATACCATGCATGATTACAAAAATAATCTTAGTACAATAAGTTAAATAGAAAACACAATTGTATTGACACATTAAAGCCAGACTATGCAACTCTCATAGGCTACCCCTTGCTCAATTTAATACACTCACATGTTTTGTTGCTACAGCTTTACTTGGTCTAGTAAGATAAGAAAGATCTATTTTAAGTAAGATAATTTAAGCTAATGTTAGCACAATGATGTGGAACTAAAACCATCTCCTCAGTTCATTGGCTGTATGACACAGTTAGCTGTGACATGCTAACATGTAGCTTACCTTTCAACTTTTAAACTACAAGTTAACATGTTTGAGTCTATGTCTTTTTTAGTTTATAGTTTTGCTAGGGATCCACCAAATCATCTGTCCTTAGCCTCTGCATTCCTCCTTTAACAAAACACGCTACGAAGGATTTAAGCTAAAAGCTAGCCAGTAGCTTAATACCTGCATTGGCGTCAGAAAGTAGATCAGGTAACAATTTGTCCAGATACATCTTGCAGAATGCCTAGGGCTACGTTGAAACTCAGCTAGTGTTAGCTTTACACTAATCAGTTTCAAGTCCTGCCAGTAAAAACGGGAGCATTTCAGCTCTGAGTTGAAGTCAACTCAAGTTGTTCCAACAAAAAAACAAAAAAAAACTCAAGTTGTTCCGGACAAAGGGCAAAACATGAGAGCAGAGAGCGATAAATGTTCAAAAGATCAGTTATGCATAAGCAGCGAACAAAAACACATACATTTAATTGAAAACAATAACATAAAAACTAAGGCTAAAAAGCGCTCTCTCGTTTTGGGCCTAAAACAGGAAGTAAAAAAACATATGTATTTTTTTCTGCTCAGAGACCTTAAGATGTCTTAAGCTGCTCTTAACCAAAGCTCGAAACAACATTAACAGTCTATCAACACAATGCATCTAGCAGATACAAGCCATTATCAATATTTTAGTGGGAATGCTGATACAGCATTCCAACTATATGTTATGCTACGGACAAAATTCTTATTATTTCATCCAATTATTTTGTCCGTCTTCTCCTCCCACATTCAACATCGCAGAAACTCCGTTCAAACATCAAAACGTTCAGCTCGGTCGGGAATCGACTGCTATTACTTTTATCATTCATAACTTTCATAATTCCAGAGATACATCCCATAATTCATCACATTTTTAACATTTGAACTTTAACATTGCGCAGCTCGTTAAGTTAGAGTGCGTGATGTCACAGCTAGAGGGTAGGAAATCTTGAAATTTCCCTTCATATTTAAAAAAAAAACTGCCATAATTCCCAAACCCTACATTCCTGAGACATAATTTTTCATGACAAACGTAGGAAAACATCTCGTAGCTTGAAAAATGACAAATAATTAAGCAAAACTAATTCAACAAAATGCCTCTTGAGGGCATGAAGTGACAAAAACGTTCAACATGTCTCCATTAAAGCCCATTGTAATTTCAGGCAGATATTTCCTCACAGCAGCAGCCGCACACCTTTAGTTAAACTGCCAAAAAGGCCACATTATTAACCCGAAAGTACACAAAAATTACACTTCAGATACTCAACTTCCTTGACATGCTTCACATTTTGAAATTTCACAGATATCTGTTATCGTTCTTCCACAAAACGTTCACATGTAAGAGGTTCATCTCTCATTCAGAACAATGAAACCTTTGATCTTTTCATAGCTCGTTAGCTCAACTATAAACACCTGTGTAATGGAACACGATGATGTCATCACTCCAACTGACAGCAGTCAGTTCTAACTGTTCATTTCATACTCATACTCACACACACACACACACTCTCTCTCTCTCTCTCTCTCTCTCTCTCTCTCTCTCTCTCTCTCTCTCTCTCTCTCTCTCTCTCTCTCTCTCTCTCTCTCTCTCTCTCTCTCTCTCTCTCTGCCACACCGGTCCAAGCCTCAACAGCTCTACGCCAAATCTGAAATCTCACCATATGCCGTTTCCATGGAAACGCATCCCTCGCCATAAAACATGATGTCGCTATAACTCCTATGAAAATGTTCAAAAAGTGCTCAAACTTCACATGTGTGCTAACAGTCCAGACGTGAAGACATCTACGGGACATGCCGTTGCCATGGCAACACAATGCCCGCCATGAAACACGGTTTTCTCATAACTTCAGTGAAAATGCTCCAAACAGCCCAAAACTTCACAGGTTTGGTAACACAGCCATCAACGCATCTAAGCGTATTATGGGATGTCATCAAATGCCGTTGGCATGGCGACAGATCATTCGCCATCAAGTTAGTTCAAAAGTTTGCATTTCAAATATTCTGCTGCTTTTCCAAGCCTTTTTACTTTCTTTTCTTCTCTCATCACACATTCAAGCCCCCAGTGTTCATGTATCATTTCAATCTAAATTCTTCACTTTTTTCTTACACATTACATTTCAGCATAGCAGTTTAGCGTCAGCTTTTCAGCATAAAGCATTCCCACTAGCAATTTCTTCAGGAATTGCATTCTCTAGTTGCTAATGCTTTTGACCTAGCATATTAGTCAAATATGCACTCTTCTTTTAGGTCTGCCAACTTCTGAGGCAAATATTTGGTTCATTATTTTCTAAATAAAAAACAGCTGGTCACTTAATTTGTTAGTTTGCTGTTTGTTGCCAGGCAGATTAAAGCCTATACAATAGGTTTATCAGAGCTTTTAGCTAAAAACTGTTGAACTGGCTGGAATGTAGCATTTCATAATAAGGCAATCCTTCAGAATATCTGAACATACAATACATTTCTTTAACACACACTTTTCTTGATGTTTGGTCTTTTGAATAGGCCTTGTTTGAAGCCTGGTCTGGAGTTTGTGAACCTGCAAGACACACACACACACACAAGAGTGCCAAAAAAAGATATATGTCCGTTCACAGTGTATTTTACTGCTCTCTTGGCTGCCGAATGAAGGTGTGTTCCCAGCTAGTATCAACAGTTAAGCCGGTGAACACATCACAGAGGGACGGGAGTCAATGGTGTGTGATAGCATTTAGCATTCTCCAACCACTGCTGAGGAATGTGAGCGAGGAATTTACTGCACCTAACGGGGATGCTTCTGCTCCATATGTTTTTCAGCTTTGAAACTATTGAAACTCAACCTCTCCACTGATACTGCTGAATTATGAACAGTGGGGACGGGAGTTAAGGAGCCCTTTAATATGTTTAACGGTTCAACAAGTGCTGCTCGGATTGTAGCCATAACCTTCAAAAGTTAAGGCAGGAGAAACGCATTTTATCACGTGTTTGCATAAATATTATCACGTGTTGCATGTGCATGGTAAAGTCATTACTGTATATCCAAACAGTACTATGTGCTGTTTGGACATCAAGAGGGAAAAAATACGTAGATTACAACTAAAGTCAAACCACAGTCTTCAAATACTGAACCCATTGCCAGCATGTTGTCATGAAGTCACACTATTGACAACGCTAAGCTTCTGTCAGACCCATTTTGTAATTGTTTACAGTCCTTGTTGCCTCGAAATGGATGAAAATATTCCAGAAAAATAAGCATTATGGTTGGATAAGCCCTGCTTAAGATGTATAATTCTGACACTCAAATGCACACGCTGACACACTTTCTGACTCCGTATGTGCAACAGCCTGAGGATTACACAGGCTTGGATTCATTTTCATTTTCCAGTGTTTGTGTTACCCACGTGATGAGCCAATTTGTAGTGAAATCCACTTCAGCTCAGCAGGATTCACTGTCTAACACGAGGCAGGGATTGGTGGTTTTTCTGGTTATTAGCAACCATGCAATTACACCCATACATTTCCAGAATCCCCTGGTATAACATGCATTAATATCTGCTGACACCATTTTTGTCCAAACCGCAAGAGATTCGTACGCCTCGTGTAGAAAATATGAGAGCATGTCGGAGCAACACCAGGCTAAATCTCACTAGTACATCTGACAACCACATTTGCTGATAGTCATGTGTAATATTTTTCATATCCCAGAGTGTGCAGCAGAGGCTGCTTTCTCTGCAAGCTTTTGCTTTTACAGGGCTCTCCAGAGAAGTGATTGGACGGTATGAGAGCCAATAGGCGGCACAGCAGCAGGTTATTTGAACTCTCCTCACACAGCTCAACCAAACCATCCTCTGACTTTTCAAACTTTATTCTTTCACAAGAGTCTGTCATCTGCTCAGTCCCTGCTCCTGTGGGGACAGAAATACTTTTTTTTATTATCTTTACACTTTTGGGTGTATTCAGAATGGAAACCAGCTGTTTCTATCTAGAAGTCCTGAGATGCACCTGTTGATCGAGGAGAACTTTACGTGTTTGATAATGAACAAAGTTGCTGAGATGAAGTGTGACACTCTTCTTTTTGAGGACGACATTAAGGCAGAGGAGAGGTGCAGACTGAGCTGTGTGGATTTGCCTCAGAGCAGTTTACCAGACGGGCAGAGCGCAGACCTGCTGAGGTGCCAGGAAACCAACGGGGACATTTCTCCCATCAGAAGATACGGGTACGCCCTTTTTGTTTGTGTTGGAAATTGTTTTAAGCGGTTAAACAGAGGCACATATTTTGTTTACAGTTGTAATATACCTTTTTTTAAAGTGATAAAGTGACGTGGCACTAAAGTGTTGTTTCTGACTTTAAATGCATAGTTCAATAGTTCTTGGCATTTATTTACTGCAGTGGTTCTCAATTGTTTTTCAGCAAGGACCCATCATTTGTTTCTCTTGGAATAATTTGATGTAGTGCTTTTCTTATATTTCTTACATCAGAGAAAGAAAAATTCAGAAAGATATTGGACATGTATTGAAAATAGTTGCAAAATCTAAACACAGAAAAACTCCAATGCAATTGACATACATGTAATTAGCTACAATAAACAACAAATAGCCTCCCATACACATCATGAAAGAGTAAACAGCATGTTGGCCCACAGACACAAGGCTGGCTTCTAAATAATACAAAACAGTTGTTCAAAATGAAGACATACCGTAGAAAATGTCACGGATTTGTTAAAACAGAAAATGGAGTATTTGAAAGGCACTTCAGGACACAAACGTACACATACATAAGAAGTGAAGTGATAAGAAGTGTTTCCTTTTTGGTGTATACATAGGCTAAATACAATTGGATTTAAATGTGTATTAATACAATATCAGTCATTATACAGAAAAGGTCAAATTAACTTTTTTAGATTGAAAATATTAATATTTGAAATTGTATTTGTTGAACTACTAAGTCTTTGTAAAAATAAAATAAATAAAAACTTCATAAATTAAATCACAGAAAAGAGAACTTTTCAAGTGCCACCTGGCAGATTGCCACACACCCGTATTTGAGACTCCCAAGGACATTATTGACAGACTTTTATCATGTTGTTCGGGATGTAGAGGGGATTGTAGGTGGTCTTTGTGAAACTTTGAGTCAACTTGTGATTCCTCCAGGTCTCGTTTGGGTGGGGTCAAAGTTCGCCACAAGAGACAGGTGCTGCAGGACATGGCTCGGCCGCTCAAACATTGGCTGTACAAACACCGGGACAACCCCTACCCCACCAAGACGGAGAAGGTCCTGCTGGCTCTGGGCTCTCACATGACTCTAGTGCAGGTGAGAGACTAGCCTGTGCCAGAAAGCAGGGGATGTGATTTGTATTATGTGGGTTAAAAAGAAGCCAGTGCTGTTATATAACACGGTGCATCTGTGCAGGTTTCCAACTGGTTTGCAAACGCCCGGCGGAGGCTGAAGAACACAGTGAGACAGCCAGACCTGAGCTGGGCCCTGAGGATCAAACTGTACAATAAATACATCCAGGGAAACGCTGAGAGACTGAGCGTGTGCAGCGATAACTCAGAATCAGACGGTACGGGCACATTTTGTGGAGTTATTAAGAATATTGTCATTTACATTTTTTGGATATAGGTCTGGTTTATTATAGTTTGTTTGTTTCTTATTCATGTAAAGGTCGCCTATTATGCAAAATGCACTTTTTGATGTCTTTTATTCATAAATATGGTTCCCCGGTGTGTAAGGAGACTCACAAAGTACACAAATAAAACCCTCTCTCTTTTCTTCCTCACCCACATCTCTAAAAAACGGAGCTGATCCAGATTTGTTGCGTAATGTAATGACGACATTACTAAAATGTGGGCTGGCTTTACACCCACGGCCCAATCAGAAACGTTGCTATCAGAAACAATGCGCAATGTGTTTTGGAAGTAATATGGTCTTTGTTTACATTAGCAAGCATCGCTAACACTCAGAGCTAACGCTGTACTGGAGAGAATAGGTAAAAGAGCCGGATATAAAAAAGGTACTCACCTTGTGGTAAACCTGCAAGAGAAAAAGGGGGCGTGGCCCTGCAGCTACTGAACCAGAATAAGCACTTTAGTAACAGGGCTGAAATAGAGGGTTATGAGGCATGGTATTTTTAGCAAAACACCGCAGAGACATGTTTTGTATAGATATGGCCCTATAATATATTGTTCAAATATAGCATAATAGGTGAGCTTTAAATCAGTACAACATTAAGATAAGTCTGTTTTGTTTCCTTTGCTGCAGATGAACACTGTCTCTTACAAACTCCCATCGGCCAATCAGACTTTGGCAGGTCCCACAAGAGTGCGCTCGAGAAGCAGGGCGGCGTCCTCGCCATGGCGGACTCTGCCAACAGTGACGACAGCGCTTCACCTCCATCCAAGTACAAGAGCAGTTTGCTGAACCGCTACCTGAACGACACCCTGAGACACATGATGGCGGGGGAGGCCAATGGCGTCGCTCCGGCCCACAAGAGGAGGAGCCACTCCGAGTCGTTCAGCTCCAACGAGTGCGATCAAGATGTTGTCTCTCCGGCGTCATCGTACGAAACGGAGGCCAACTTCGTCTACCACATGGGTGAGAGATGTCAGTGTTTGTCACTGTTCAAGATAATATTACAAGGTAAAGCAATAAGATGAGTTTTCTTACTTGAGTGGAAGATTGCACTTTAAAAATATGTGAAATTTTCGCATTAAATGTTTAAAAACAAATAGACCTATATTATATATTTTGTAAGGATTTGTATGTAAATAAACCCAAATCTTAGCAACAATTTAACTATAATTTGAAACCTAGAGAAATAATTTAATCTAGGTTTCATGTGTGCACCTTTTAGCATGCGTTAATGTTTGGAATGGCTTCCAAAAGCTGGCATAAAAGTACTTTTTATTCAGTTTATAGTTCTTTTTTTACGACTTAAAAAGTGTGGTTGGTTTTTAACTTTGTATTTCAGCCAAACGAAAGTATTAGTCCTTGAACGTTTTGACCTAAGAGAAACAAGCTGTGCTAACATTAGCGGTTAGCTCACAATCTCTCAATGTTATGTGTCTGCTGAACCACTTTTAGAGAAACACTGATTTTATTCACCATGTTTGTTTGTTTTGGAGAAGAGAAGATCTCTACGGATAATTCGGCTCACGATAGAAACCTCTTGAACATCTGGATCTTAAGTTTTACGAGAAACAAGCTGAGCAAACATTTGTAGCAACTCAGCTTGCAGTCCCCTCCGAGACATCCCTTGTTTGCTGAGCTGTGATGGAGAAACACTCATTATTATGTGACACTGCTTTATTCTTTACTCCTAGAATTATTGGCTCCAGGTAAAAAAAACTGTCTTTTGTTATTGTTTTGAGATGCCCCTAGTGGCAGAAGATCTATTAGAATATATTGTGCCTTTAACAAAGAATCTGCACTTAACATGTGTAAATAGAATTAGGGAATGCATGAAATATTGCATCATACATGGCAAATTGGGAGTGAAAACAGATGATAGCACCCCCTGTCCATAGAAATAATAAAAGTATCTTCCTTTTTAATTGCAGATTTATGTGGAATAAGAGTTAAAGTGACACTTTAACTGCCCTGCTTCCCCTTGGTTCATTTTTAACACACCACAGTGCACAGTAAAATAAGAGCAGACTGAACAGAAACGTCCACAAGGCTCCTCAGAGCTCCCCGACATTAAATCTCTGGCATTCCACTGAAAGTCAGAAGCTCTGCGAGATTCAATTATAAAGTTTCAGCAAATATTGGAGGTAGGCTGACACCTGGGTGCCCTTTCAGACCTATAGGGAGCCCGGCACACTAACAGCCCTCAAACCCGCTAAAGGTACAGGAGCCAAAGCCTCTACAAACATTACTAATAAAGACTCATGCAGACGCTGAAATCTCTCATTTTAAAATTGGACGGATCTCGAATTGGCTGCCGCTGCACTGCACACCACAAATACCATTTCCATATACTAGAATGTGCCATTTGTTCCGCTTCAACTTCTTGCCATGGTGGAAATGTCCAGTCCAGTCTCAAGGACAATTACAGAATGTCTGAGACTTTATTCTTCCCCGGGTGAGAAGTGGGGACCTCAGCCAAAACGGATCAATTTGTCAGTAAAGCACCGAAGACATTTCATAGAGGGATTGTCAGACTCAGAGCTGCCACTCATCTGTGAGTTAACGCAGAGCGAGATCCCTTATCCATTTGGCTTTTCCCTGCGCTGTTTGAGGGTGTTTGAGCTTTGCTTTTCTGACTCATGTGCGCTTTGGCAGGCGCCGTCTCCCGAGTGTTACTTTTCTACTCAATATCAATCTAAATGAACATTACATTATAGGAGTTGTGAAAAGATTTTTGAAACCATTTCTACTCCTAGCACACCCAATCAGTTTCAATCAAATACTCAACACGGCATGGAAAAGTTCCTTTTTTATTATTATTTTAGAACCTTCTCCAGACAAACATTATTTCCTGGTTCTCTGTGTAAAGATATTTAATGGATATTTTTATATTCTGTGACAAGGCTTAATCTGTATCCGGGAAACTCACTTTAACCTCCACTTGCCCTACATTTTAGTAACTTGAATAATAATTTATAATTTGAACAGGCCTGTGTGCATTCAATTAGAAATGGTATTTAGTTTTAAGTACAGCCACCGTGTGGCCTAAACTATTAATCATATAGTATCATTTTATGTAGAATAGTTTGTAACATTTTGAAATGTAATGTTTCTAGTTTACCATAATACTTTTAGTAAAATAGTTGGACATTTTGGAAAAATCACTTTATTCACTGTGTTACCAAGAGTTGTTGAATTGACTAAACTACGGCAAGCAGATGGTTAGCTTAGCTTAGCAAAGGAGGAGACAGCTAGTTTGTCTTTGTTCAAAGGTAACATAATCCACCTACCAGCATATTAAAAGTTAGTTAACATCTCATTCCTTTTGTCAATAAATACAAAGAAAACTCAATAATTTGTTTTAAAATAATGTGTTTTATCTGTTCAAAATGTGTAAAAAGGACAAGATTAACATAAAGTTATGTGCTGGGCTAATTCTTAGCTAGGCACATAAAACTATAAACATCGATTTAAATAATGTAAAATAAGGTTCAACTTATAATTTGTAAACTTTAGAGGAGCTTAACTGGTAGCTGTTTTTAAAATACATATGGACATTGCCAGGCTAGCAGTTTCCGCCTGTTTTCAGTCTTTATGCTAAGCTAACCGTCAAAGTGGTATCCTTTTTCTCATCTGGCTCAGAGAAAGAAATTATATATACTGTATTTCCCAAAAATGTTACACTCTTTCTTGTAACATGTTAATGCTAACTTTAATCAAACATCTTTCCGAAAATGTTGAGGTTTCTTGATGTCACCACATACTATGTGGCCAGCACTGTTTAAATGTTTGTACAAACTTTTAATGTATCCCTGCTGTTCATATAAAGGGTGTTAGCAACCCAGTACAGCTCCTCTGTGGAGGTGAAGTGGAAAGTCAGGCTGCCAGATTCATGACAGGCACTAGCCACCATTAACACGTCTCCACCCAGGAGACGGCTTAAAGTGAACCTCTAGTGATAGGCTAATAAGTGTTGCAACTACACTGTGTCTTACAAGGACACTTTAATCAATCAGTCTGAATCCCACAGGCAGTGAATGTCCAATAGTATAGTTTAATGGTGTGACTATTTACTCAGCAGGAATGTTATGGTGTTTACACCGTATCATATGGTTCTCACATCAACTTCAATATTTCTCTTAAAAAGGCAGGAGGGCCATACATGTGACCAGAATCATGTTTTATTTCAAACATATCTGGCCTTACAGTGTTTTCCACCCTTTTTTTTTTTTAAATGCTTGCTGAGAGGGGAGTCTCTTTTTCACAAATTCATATCCACGTTGAAAAGACTTTGTATAACAATATTTTACAAGTACACCGTTATTGTCCAACATGGATCCCATTGACACTTGAAGGGTTTTAAACTGATGCTGGGGGAGAACACCCAAATCATGTAGACATTCTACATTGAGAGTATTTTACATGAGACAGCATTTATGGTAAGGCATAATACCATTATTTCCAGAAAATACAAATTTAAATACTTGAAAGTTAGATGAGAAAATGTATCCTTATTTATATAAATAAACGTTACTACCCCTTGTAAAATTGAGTTGTAACTGATCTTGGCTGTACATTTGCAACTCACCAGAGGTAAAACTACGTTTTTTCTTTGGTAATAAATACATCAGAGGTACCGAAGTACGTTCTTGGCAAAGCACATTATGTCTAAAGAGAAAAAAGCTCAGGGACGTTCAGTAGCAAAAAAAAGTATAAAACAGGAAGATGATTTACTATCAGCATGTAGTTGCTCTTGGCCGCAGCCTGGCCGAAGGAATCAGAGACGGGGATGTTTCGGACTGTTAGCATTGACGGACTATGTTTCACAGCGGGCCCTTTCATTTCCCTGTCTATTGCTCTCTGAAGAAAAATCTCTTTTGACCAGCTGCTATCTGCTCGGATGAAAAGAGGCCATATTCCAGAACTGAAATGGAAAATAGGTTTTACATATGATGCACAGACCTCAAACTACAGGAGATTATTTAGGGCCTGGCACAACTAAAGAAATGCATTTAAAAAATAAATCTGCTGTAAAAAAAAAGTCAATGTTCAGTATATAACACTTGATTTATTTTCAAGATCCTAACATTTCAACTTTATTTGTATTATTTCAACTTTAATTTCATCATATTTATATAAGCCCTGCCCCCCTCTCCAGCACGTCCTGTTTGAATGACAGGAGTAAACACAGCTGACAGCCGCGGTGAAACTCGAGCGATTAGAGCGATGCGAATATTCGGGGCTTATCTCCCAACCCCATGTAAATACTATGGTAGATACCAACTACAACAAAGTGAACATATTTGACCGTGATTTCATTGTAATACACGTTTCAAAATGATGCTGAAGTAACAACATACTGATACCGTATATGGTTAGTAAAAACCATGAATTAATGCTTTGACAAGTGTGCAGACAAGACGGCAGGCGAAAAACCTTTTAAAATGCGTGTTTTCTGAATGGAGATCGGATCGATCGGGCTAAACTAACCTGTAGCTGACAGAAATAAAGCAGCGATTGTATTCGCCCGGTTTGTACATGTTGAACTTTTGTCCAGTTTCTGAACAGATATGAGGAGCTGTGACCTCTGTGTGCTAACAGCTAACGGCTGATGTTTTGGGACATGTTGATGTGGTGATGGGTTAACAGCATGTCGAGGATAACATCATATGTATATCCTTTGTTAAAATATTCCTTTAAGATTTCCATCTCTTCTTCCATTCTTTCCAACTCAGTTTAAAATTTGTGCAGAAACAGCTGAATAGTACCAAACCAAATACGAGGCGCTGTCGGGTGCTGACCAATCGCGAAGCGTCATTTCTTGACTGGCAGTAAAAACAACCAATCACAGCAGTGCTTCTCTGGCTGGCTCTGTCCAATCACAAACAAGAAGTGTTCTGCCTAAAGTCCCTGTCACACTGTCCCGAAATTGACACCAGATGGACACACGATAAAGGAAATGTTCAAATTCGGCTCTGATCTTAACAACATCGGGCCATTCGTGAGGGCATCTTAAGCCATCGTATGACCGCCGGTGGAGTTTCTCAGGCTCCGGCAGCAACTTCGTGAGCGGTGGCAAAATCTTTGGCATGCCAAAAAATTGCCGAAGGACCTTGCGAAGGTTCATTTTCGTGTTGAATTCTTGCGTCTATTTTGCCCTTCGTAAGGCACTCGTGAGGGCATCTTGTCAAATCGTGTCATCTTCGTCTGATCATCGGTGCCATCGGGCATTTTTCGCCTCACGAAGATAATACGAAGGAAACAAGAAGCTACCCAATTGTCTTAGGAAGGCAACACGACTACGTGAAGCCCTCGCAATGCCGTCGTGTAGCCATCATATTATAGTACGATGACATCGAGATTGCATTTATTGCACAACAAAATCATGTAAACATATTATGTAAATAACCCAATTTGTGTTCTGTGAAACTGAAAAGGATATTACATTGTTTTTGTTACTTTCGTTGCAGTTGTATGTCTTAAAGGTCCCATGTCATGGCCATTTCTACTGATCATAATTCCATTGTTGAGGTATACTAAAATAGATTTATATTGTGCAATTTTCCAAAATCACATTGGTTTCTCATACAGCATCTCTGTATAGTATGTGTATTCACTCTCTGTCCTAAACGGCTTGTTGAAGCTCCTGCCCCCCCCTCCCTATGAGCCCATGGCCGTCTGCGAGACAGCGAGACACAGCGAAACCCAGCCCGAAACCAGCCCGAACACACACACACACACACCCACAGCCTGGCTGGGAGTTTGTGTGTGTGCTCACACACCGACTCACAGCCTCGCCGCGTCCCGCCGTCTCAGGGAGGAGAAATCGGCGGAGCTGCAGCTGAGAAAAGATTGAGTGTGTGTGTGTGTGAGGAAGTCCACGGACTTAACGGACTTAACAGCTCCGCGGACGCAACGTAACGGCTCCACGGATTGGTCCATTTGGACCAATGGGTCCATTTGGGTATGGGCACGTCACTGTACCCAGGAAGAAAAAGAGAAATCTCCAACGAGGCGTTCTGGGGCAGCATAGACAGGTATTTTCTGTGTTAGAGTTTTACTTGCTACAGGGTGTACTTTGAGGGTTTGTGACTTTGCAGACCGTTTACATGCATAAAAACCTTCATAACATACAAGGGGACGGGTAATAACCGGAAAAGCATGACATGGGACCTTTAAATGTAATTTAGATTAACTTCCTGTTTTATTTAGATGCTTTTATTTTGAAGGCGAGTTTGCGCTGTTGACAGGAAGTTGTTGTTGCTATGGAAACAACATGACGGAGATAAGTAATATCTTCTAATCATACATATAAAGACGGAGAAAGTAAAGAATAAAGTGTATGTTTAAATGTTAGCACCCCCAGAAGAGGCACAAGCTCTTACGTTGAGTCTGGATACTAATACTGGATTCTAAATCATCAGTAAAGTCTACGACCATATTTTCGTGTGTGGTTAGGGTGCCATCGTGTGGCCTTCTGTAGGCATCGTACTTGCTTCGGCTGTCGATTGGCTGTTGACCAAGTTCGGGGCCATCTTCGTGCGAAATTCACAATTCCATATTCGTGTGTCCATCTGGTGTCAATTTTGGGACAGTGTGACAGGGGCTTGAAGGAATACCCTTTCCATAAAAGTTGAAATGTTGAAGTGTTTTGTGAAATGCTGTAGTGTTTTGTGAAATGTTGTTTTGACTTGCACTTCAGGGCCACCGTACCTCCTGACACGATGCAGATATCATTTATTTTCTTCCCCTCTCAAAATCTTAAAACAAACAGAGCATTGCGTTTGTTTTGGCCACAGAATCTGAGCACAGGCAGACTGATGCACTTCACTGAGGCAAACCTTTTTGGCACTGGAAAACCCATCCTGAGAGTTACATACATACTCACATGCGCATTTATACCATGTGTTATATTCCCAAAAAATCTAGGGGCAAAGGAAAGTAAGAAAAAGTTAAACATACCGGGGGAAAAGAGAGAAAACTGATTTATAAAACCAAAACATGTTGTTTATTAACGCTAAAATTCAAATGGCTCACTAGCCAATAAAAAAATCGAAAGTATGCTTTATTTAAAGGAAGAAAGTGGCAATAGGCGCTTTCACACCGGAGTACTTTTCCCAGGAATAGTTCCGATAGTTCCTGGGATTTTGCGTTCACACCAAAAAGATCTGGAACTAGAACTTTGTTTTGCAAACATTTTCACTCTTTTTTTCCTGGGGAGAAAAAGGTTCCAATTTCTGATTGGCTGGGCGAATTGCAAACCACGCCTCGTAAAACTCTGAAAATTGTTTGTGAAGCCGCCATTTTCTTTGCTTGCATCAGCATTATTAGCATTAGCCCAGCGCACCAACGGAGAGAGACTAACTTATGGCAACACAAAAGAAAACATGGGAGCGGTGGAGTGATGAGGAGGTGTCGGCGCTTCTGGCGATTTACTCGGAAGGCAAGCCAGTCCCCAACTCCGGGAACTTCCAGCCGGGGACTTCGGGTGGCAGTCTACGCCGTGAAGTTGTTTGCGGACTGCCAGCAAACCCAAAGCAGAAGAAGAAGAAGAAGAAGTGACGTCAGCGGCTCCCTCAGGGACTTATTCCGGTGTGAACGCGATTTACTAGATAGTTCCAGGAAATAAAAGTTCTGGGGAACTAAGTTCCGGGAACTATTCCTGGGAAAAGTACTTGGTGTGAAAGCGCCTAATGGTAAAATGAGAACCAACCTATTAAAGACCACCTAGTAGAGGGACTAAGGCCCCTAAAAGTTGAGATACCTCTTCCCAAGAGGCATTCTATACATAAAGCAAAAAAGCCATCAATATCTTTGTCCATCTTTGTAACGTATACAGTTAAACACATGGAGTGTAGAAAGGTTTAAAATCCTATGTATATACTAAAATATAATACATTATAATAATATAAAAAAAATCTTTAGTGCCATTTTTGTGTGAACCTCTTCTTGCTGCTTGGTTCCTTTCAATATACAAACTTGACAATTAATTAAAAAGTCTAAGCTACTAAGTCCATGCTCTAAGTAAATATACAATGTAACCTTGAAGTTGTTAACATCTGTATGACGATATAAAAAAAATTCTGCAGTTTAGGCTACTAGTAAATGTTTGTACGGAACTATTTCATGACACAAACCCTAACGCTTACACTTGGTTTTGAACAGCACTTAATGTGGCCAACCCTCCACGCAAACTCAAGTTCAAATGGAAGGGAGAGGGTGTTGTAGGGGTTGGTTTGGAATTGGGCCTATGTATCACTAACATGCAGGCCTAATCCCAACATTGATTATCCTGTTTGCAATTTCACTGCTATCAAGTTAACAGATTCATGGGATATTTAGGTGAACTATTTTCTTCTCTCTTACAGACACAATGGACTATACGTCAACTAAATGTGACAGGTAAGTGAAATTATTCCTCGCTCAATCTGCAATCCAATCAGCTCTTTGCCCTCTTCAACTTTCATGAGCTTGAAAAGTAATACCCTACATAATCCCTCTTGGAAGTTGTTCTTGAATCTGAACCGCAACCTCTTCATTCACCCATATAATTTTGGCTCCGTATAAAAAGGCAAATGCACCATTTCTGCTTTGTATCAATGTTTTTTTTCTTTTATTTGCAGGGAGCAGCAGCAGGGCCGAGGTCAGCATAGTCGAGGTGATCAGGACTGGAGGGAGATTCACGCCGCTGTGGCTCTTACCAACCTGGCCCAGGGGCAGAGCTGCATTGAAGACCCGAGCAGCTTGACAGGGACCAAAGCTGGTACAGGGCAGAGCAGCACACGAGGTCCCACCTCGGTTACCAGTATCCTGGACAGGATACGTGTCACAGGACCCAACGCGGCTCTGAGGCAGAGCTGCACCACAGGGCCCACTCTCACCAGCCGCATCATCCAGAAGTCCTCCCATATCTCTGAAGTCCAGACTGTTAATGTGGCCCTGGCAAACAGCTTGTAGGCATTTCATGAAAGCATCTGGTCAATCGTTCCATATAGGAATACCAGATGCTTAAGTGCTGAGCAATATCTGTACAGCCTCTGTTCTTTTGTAAAGCTGATAAACTTTGACATTTTCAATCATTTCTATATTGTAAAAGGGAAAAACTGACCTAATGCAGTTGAGTATTTTCTACTTTTTTGCCATGTTTCTAATGACTTCCTATTGCCGTCTGTTGCAGTAAGTTATATTAACTTCCACGAGACTGGACTATCATCCAATGCTTAAATCTGACAGCAGCTATTTGAATAAACCCAATGTGAAATATTTTGACCAGTCGCTTGCTTTAAATCATTGCCTTGCCGTGGCTGGAGCTGCATACTTGTGTTTTACTGAACTGTATTTAGTGGCAATATTCATGTGTGCAATTGTAGGACTCGCAGCAACGTTATATACTTTGAAATTGCTTTTTAAAAAGGTTGTAATGTGGACAGAAGGGTGGCATAGAGCAGGGCAACAGTAATTTAAAGTGGACCTATCATGCTATATTTGAATAATATATTGTAGGGCCATACCTATATAAAGTATATAAATATAGTTTTTTTTTCAAAATACCAAACAGATCCTGCATTTTAGCCATGCCTCATTTCGCTCCATTTGCTCTTTCCAGCCCTGTTTTTGCAGGGGGCTGATTCTGTGAGCTGCAGCTGACCACGCCCCCCTGCAGGAGAGGGGAGCGTGCTCTGATCAGCTGCTGGACTGTCAGAAGAGGGGGAGAAAAATAGATCTCCGTCCTCCGTGTTTTATTATATTATTATATAGAGTCGTTATTCATTTGTTTTAAGGCGAGACACCCCAGGTGAATAGGGTAATTTTTTTAACTTAAAGATATCAGCTAGAAATTTCTCCAGTTAATTACTTACAATAAGGCAATTGTTTTTTGTATTACAAGTTTTCTGAAATAGCATGTTTAAATATGCAAATGAGCCATTATCTCATGAAATATGGGCATATTTTAACACATTTCAGGAACCGAAATCTGAACTTTGGATAAAGCCAGGATCAAAATTATTGTTTCATTTTGTAGTCATATTAGTATCTAAGGCTTTTACAGAAGGGATTTTGGATATCTCTTTGTATCACTCCATAAATCAGAAAATACTGTCAACAGCCCTAAAATATCAATTTTCACCATGTTTTTAGGTATAAAATGTTATATAATTCAGGCTATGAATTATATATGACCAAACCCTTCTGTAAAAGCCTTCATAATATTGATAGGAATATAACTGGAAGGTTTGGTGTATGTAACTGCTACTGAAGTGGACATTTCGAACTCAGAGTAGGAGAAAAAACTCATTTTGAGAAAACGACCTTTAAAGATTTGCAGTGTGACGCTAGCTAAACCCTCCTGTTATCTGGATGACAGCTTGCGCATCGACGCACTCCGTGAAGGTATTTCATGTTCGGGGTCATTTGTTTTTTGTATAACCTTGCTTTGTGCAAGTGACAATTGTTGTCGTCTTCTCTGTGAACGTTTTTTTCGCCGTTATTTTGCCATTTTCAGATTTAAGTTTCTAGCGGAAAGCTAACCAGGAAGTGCTTTAGCACACCACGTGACGCATCTGAACGAATCACGTTGTCAGAAATTGACACCAGCCAATGAGATTTTGTTTCTTGGTTTAAGACCCCTTTGTACTTTCACGATTGGTTGCTGATACAAAGGAAATGACCATATTTGGATCCGATGAGATTGTGCAGGAGACACGGAGCTTTCCAACGATACCTCTGATGACATGGTGCAAACAGCGGTCGCGGTACTTTATGTTACGTGAGAATGCTAACTTTTGGTGAATTTAGGAGAAATCTACAGACGCAAATAGACAAACTATAGTAAAATAAACACTTAAATGTGTATTTTGTATGTTTTCCTTCCAAAAGCCTGAAAGAAAACATGTTATGGAATCAAAATAGCACAAAATCTCAAAATTGACCAGTGCAGGAAAAACGATGTTTTTGCCTGCCGTGTCTCGCCTTAAAGCTCAATAAATAACAAAGAAGACCTTTGACCGGCACTTTTCTAATTTTGTCCGGAAGATTTCAACTTTAACGGACATCTTGACCGGCAAAAGAAAACCGATCTGAAACTCTGCCGCACGGTCCCCTCGTTCCTTGGAAGAGGCTGAGAGGTGAGTGTTTGTCATCTGCTGGTGGACTAACCGGAGAGGATTACAGTGCTTGCCTCGACGGGCAGGGATTGCATTGAATTACAGCAGCAGGAGCAAACGCTTGCCTCGGAGAAGGAGAAAAAGAGCCACAGCGGAGAATAAACAGAAGGGCAACCATGGCAACCATGCGTGGGAAGTCTTCTTCACTGCTTTTGTGGCAGACTACAGCGCCACTTACAGGCCTGGCATATGTACTACAGCGTCTCCAGCGCTTTCGAGCGGCAATGGCCGGCCGTGGCCCAACCCCACATTCCCCTGATAGGTGGAGAGTTGGCCCAATAGCCGTACCGCCACCGTCCTGACGTCAGTAACGTGTTCAAATCTGGATCAGTTTTTATCAGATCCGTTGCAGCCCCGTTTTTAGAGATTTGGGTATGGAGGAAAATAGAGAGGGTTGTGTTTTCTGACACTTGGTGAGTTCTCTGGAACACCGGGGACACATATTCATGTATAAAAGACGTACAAAAGTGCATTTTGCATGATAGGTCCCCTTTAAGTGAAATGCCAACCCAGTCTCATGGCATTTCGTGTTATAGTCACGAAATAAATGTAATCTATTGATTCGTGTTCACCATCACGATTTTCCCATTTTTTTCATGTCACACAGAACGATTTTAAAATCAATGTTTTTTGTCCGGTCGGGTCTTGGAAGACCAGAAGCTGTGTGGTTCATAAAAACATTTTCTTACTCAATATCAAGCCACGATTATTGTTTTTATTTAAAATTGTATAATGTCAGACTTTTTTTAACGTCCGCGAGGAAAATAAATGGTGCTCAGAGCCTCAGAATACTGAAATCTGTTTTTTAATCATTTGTTATTATTTACATTGCTTTTAAAATCGTTCTGTATGACACGAAAAAAATGGGGAAATCGCGTTGGTGAACACAAATCAATAGATTAATTTCGTGACTATAACACGAAATGCCGTGAGACTGGGTTGGATAGTCACATTTGTTGAGATACAAGTCAGTAAATCAGCTTTTTTAGCCAACAGCTTAAAGGTGGGGTAGGTAATTTTGGAGAAACCAGCTAGAGTGCGCTAGAATTTGAAAATATACAGCCGGAAAAAATCTGCCACTTCCTTACAGAGCCCCTCCTCCAACACACACGAACGCGCACATGACCAATGAGGGCACGAGATAAGTTTGTGCACAGATGGAAGGCTGACAGGCAGGTAGGCCATCCAGTTATTTTAGCCTTCCATGGAATATAACAAAAAGTGTTTCTGAAATAAATTACATAGCCTACCCCACCTTTAACTGTTTTGGTTCACTTTCACCGCTCTCATTGTTTCCATTTTGAAAAGAGCTCTACAGACCGACTCTAGGCTCACTGTTTTAGCACCAAACAAGAAACACCTAATTAGAAACTAGCGAGAAAAATGTAGAACATTTAGAAGTTTATGAGTCTAGCGTTACCATTATAGCAATCTCATTACCCATCTGCTGCAGCCCTAAAGATGATAGGCTGCTGGGGCTATATTTGTGAGGTTCTTGTAGCAGCTCATTCTTTACAGTTAGCAACTTGATATGCAAGAATTACATTGTGAATTGAGAGACGACGACTACGACCGGATTGTTTTAGAGTAACCAGTTTACAAGCTAACTCAAAGCTAGCTTGTAACTAGCTAAACTAGCTAAATCGCTTTTTGCTGTCGACATGGACAGTTTGCCTGCATTCAACCAAAGACTGCAGTGTTCAAACAGAATTGGTCAAAACTCCAGCCAAATTTCAACCTGCTTCCAGCATCAACATCAACATCTTGTGAAGTTGCCAAATTCTGGAATTGAAGCAACAACAAAGCTAAAAGTACATTGGTCAGGTCACCATGTGAAGCCAAATAAATGCTAACGTTACATGTTGACTGTAGGCTATCTGTAAATAGGCTACTGCTAGCTAACTGCTTATCACAGCAACTTAAAAGCTCCAGTGGCGAGGAATAAAGGGGCTTCAACGGAATACCCTTCGACTCCTTTATACCTTTACAAGCACGTTGTGTTCTTCAGGTAACGTAAACACGTGATTGCCCCCCTCTATAGATCCAGTGATTGGTATAGAGTGGCGAAGTCCCTCCCACTTACTTCCGGGGTATGGGACCTTATTTCGGAAAAATTATGCATTGAAGTCAATGGGGAGAGAAAACGTATCTTTCGATCCCGTTTGAATTGTGCCATGAATTACACATATGATGTTTGTCAAACTTAAAAAATCATTTCCATGTCAAAAAAGTCACAGTTTGTCGTAAAACTGTTGAAATATAAGACTATGAAAAATACGTAACTAGAAAGACTACAAATCCCAGAGTCGCGTAAGTGATGTCACAATTGTTTACCTCCACCATTCAGATACCTAAGATCAGCGCCATATAGATAGAATCTATCTATATGGCGCTGGCTAAGATAAGATAACTTTAACAAGATGCCTGTGTGCTTAGTACCAGGTTGTTATTATACCAGCAATGGGTCTTGCTCGTTCTTTTGCTTCCCGTCTGATGAAACGACCAGGAGTGGCTTGATCAAGTTAGCTACCTAGCTAGTAGCTAGCACGTTAGTTAGCATTACAGCCTTGTCATTTTTATTAGCCTTAACATGAAGTAACATTAAGTAACCCAAAATGTTAAACAGTAAGAGTAGTAGTCATATTTCGTGAACCCTTTGAATAGTACTGTCACCGGTGTGATCATTCTATAATACACCATTTAATTCCGGGGGAGAAATGCTAACGCTAACGTTAGCATCGGCGATCTTTTCTACTTCATGCTATCTGCACAAATGGTTGACATTAAACATTA